TCATTCTAATTCATTTCATTTTTTTCATTTCGATGTATGTTTTTATTTACACCTTTTTTTATGCCAGTCAAAAACAACCTGCAACCTTAATGTGTGGTTGGACATTTTTATCATGATATTTAATTTTCCAAAAATTTTAATTTAAAGATAATATTCCAAAATTTTTAATTTAAAGATAATATTCTAAAATTTTCAATATACTTTGTGCCAAAAAATTCCAAGTGATTTTGGGTAAGTGTGATTTTGGGAGGGGTAAAACCTCATCACATACCACAAGGGGGAAGGAGCTTAAAAAGTTGCTGAAAACCATCACTGATTCTAACTACGGCTACTAAGCTATGCTCGTAGTATATTACAGACTAGTTGGAACTCGCGACTTCGTTCGTGTGGATTTTGAAGAGCGCTGCTTTAGTGGGTTCAATTCCCGGACCGGGCAAGATTTTAAAGGGTTTTCTGAGATGAAGAATATCCCAAGTTACTCCTTATATAGACAGCTACCTTGTAGTAAAATATTATCAAAATCGGTCCAGCAGTTTAGAAGATTACCCGAACAAACGGACAGACAGACAAAAAACTTTGAACTGTTTTTAGGCCTAGGTATCGTGCACATCGTGTTAGGATGAAAAAAAAACTATTATTTTGACATTACAAACAAACACTTCAATTTTATTCATTTGTATCGAGTATAGAAAAGTATTATCATTTGGCGGCCAATGCAATTTTGTCCTGGCAACATTTGTTCATACATTATTTAATTTGTAAACTAATAGACACGAAAGAAAACAAAAGTCAAAACAAATCGTTTGTTCCAATAAAATTCAACAATGTGTAGGTACTCATCTGAATCGTTAGCAATACATGTAATTCGGTTACGTCGAGTGACAACGTGACCTCGTTCGTATGATAACAGGGGACAGGAGTGGACATTGTTACACTGCGGGACACAATAAACACACAGCTGGATATATCACATAATTTCTTAAGTTTTTTTGTTTATCTGATGGGATTTGACGCCGCCCTTTCAGTTCCCCAAGAATTAGTTAGAGGTTGAGTCTCCAAAAGCCCCACTCATTTCGTAAGAAGCGGTCTTCTCTGAGGCCGTGGTATCACGCTTCGAACCGCCTCATTTGTGCCGAAGCGTGGCCCTCCCACTCAAGAGTTAGATATATAGATGGAAACTCTTTCCATTGGTGAAGAGTTTTATTTCGCAATTCAGACTCATAGATAGATGGTTCACTATGCGATCAGATAAGGGTGACTATTTGGTAAAACCAGAATGGATTAAGGTAAACCATGGTGCACTAGCCGTTGTAAAAGACAGAATAGATCTGCGGTACACGGCCTCCGTCATCGAGTCCGTGAGTTAGAACGTTCTTAGTGTGAGTTTATTTCACATCAACTCGTTCGCGTTCGATTGGTAATGAGTTCAGTGCGGACCAATCACAAAGCCGAACGCGGTCAACGTGACCATGGCGTTGATTTGAAATAAACACACTCACGTACTAAGTATTCCGATAGTGTCTCTATTCTATAAGCCTAATTCTGCAATGAGTCAACTTTATTTCACACATTTATCCATAAAGTCTGTTAATAAACTTTAGTACCTATTATTTATCGTTAGCACATTTATACCAGAATATCGTAAATCATATGTTATTGAGCACTTAATGTATATAGTTTATAGTCAATCCATTAGGCGATAGGTTAATATATGAGAATAATAGCTATCGTTTATTATATTAAAAGCTAGCGGTATCCTGTGGTTACACGTGAGTTTATGTTCTTCAGCTTTTGAGAATCAGAGGCCCTAGTGACACTTTATGTCACAACTATTCGGTTATCACGATGAGCGCGTTCTACGTTGCGATTTGCCCGAATTAATCTCTATACCAATCACACAACCGAACGCGGTCACCGTGACGATCGAGTGGAAGTGAAACCAACTCAGATTTGGGTCTCTGGACTCTGGATGCATACATACACTGTATGGTGGTGACAATCTGTATTCTTAAACCGTCACCGTCACCTGAGACAAATATTAACTGTATCAAACTATGCTATGCTATGCTAGCAAAAAATGCCCAACGCGCCTAAAGAAGAACATATTTCACTTCAAAAACATTGTCCTGCTTTTAAATCGAACCTGCCACGTGTAGCTTAGCAGTCAAGATCCCTTACCACTAGATCAGCAGGCCAGCTTTATATTGGCTGGTCTGCTGATCTAGCGGTTAGTGAAGTCTAGTAGAATAATAATAAAATTTACAATTACGAGTATATGTATGAGTAATCTTGTCCCGCATTGTACAGTCTGTTTGTCATTGATTGCACGAGTGTATGACTCATACTGTGTTCGTTATATTGTGTGTATATTGTCTCGAAATACCAATTCGAATTGAACTGGATTTAGTTAACGTTTTTTTGGTACATATCGGTGTGGTGGCGTATTAAGAATACAGTGTCACCACCCCTATTCATCCCGAGGGTGTCGTAAGAGCCGACTAAGGGAGAAAACTACGCAGAACAACAAACTTCAAAGAGAAGGAAAACTTGAAACAAACCCTATACCAACCCGTCTGGCCAGCGTGGTATAGTAGGCCAAAACCTCCTTTCTAAGTAGAGGGCTATGTCCAGCAGTGGACTGGTAAATGCTGTTGATAATGATTGTTGATGATGTTTAATAAAATTAATATTTGTCTCAGTATGGGAGTTAATAGGCTGATATCCGTACTTGGTGACGGATTAAGAATACAGAGTGTCACCACCCCAATTCATCCCGTGGGTGTCGTAAGAGTCGCATGGGACGACACTTTGTGGGATCCACAAATTGTCGTACTGAGTCTGGGTGTTCTTTGTGTTAGTTTCATGTATGTTTGTAAAGTCAGAAAAGTTAAAGAAGAATCAGATGGGAAAATAAGGATTATTGAAACAGAAGGCAGGAAAGAAGGCAACGCAATGGTAGAAAAAGGATATTTCTTATAATGTCATTAGTCATTTATTCAGTAACTATAAAATTGTGGTTGAATGATAACTTTAGTTTCTAAACGAATATAATTTAAATCATCATCATCAGCCTATAGTAGTCCACTGCTGGACATAGGCATCTCCGATTGTACACCACTTAGATCGATTTTCGGCTTGTATCCACCTCCAGCCAGCCATCTTGCGCAAATCGCCACTCCACTTGGCTTGTGGGCGTCCTACACTACGTTTGCTTTACCTAAGACTTCTAATTTATAAAAAAAAAACAATGTCATTATAATCATGTCAAAATTGTGGTTAGGTACTTTGAAGTTGTATGTCGGGGCACCAGGGCCTTCCTTTCTAGGGTATACCTGGTTCCCCCGCTATTAGTACCCGGCGAAGGCGTGCGGTTTTAGTCGGTTCGAGTCCGACATGCCACCGACAGGTGGTATCCGAGGGGATTTCCGCACGGAAAAAAAAAAAAAAAAAAAAAAAAAAGGTACTTTGAAGTTGTCTCTAGGTTAAGAAATGGACTACTTTATTATGTGATAAACTAAAATGAATGTCGATTAAGGACTCTGTGGGGTACAATTTATAAATTTTTTGTTACATCCTTTGAATAGACCACTTACTCAACGCCCAAATTATTTATTTATTTTACATATTACAAAGCCATTTACAATTATTGATTATAGTGCATTTGAAAACCACAGAGGTTTGTAAAAATGCAACAGATGCTATATCAAGAGAAGATGATAAAAGCCAACACTATACAGTAAACACATACAGTACAAAATACATGCGTCATTATGTAGGCACTTTTAATTATCTAAGCGTACGGGCGCAGAACGGTGAAGTGAACTCCGAGTCGGGCAAGGAGAGGAGGAGGGATTACTTACAAAAATGACATGGCCATGATTTCCAAAAAGAAAAATTAATTATTTTTTTTTACAACTAGCTATCGCTGGACAAGGCGTGATCTTTAACCTAACCTTAATGACTGCCTCGTTTGTGCAGTAGGTAGCGTATGCGACTGCTATGCTGAGGTCTCGGGTTCGTTTCCCGGGTAAGACCAAATGTTTGTATGATCTGCAAATATTTGTTTCGGAGTTTGGGTGTTTTCTATGTATACTATATATATGTATTTATAAAAAAACGTGTATATAAATATTCTATCAGTCAATATAGCTTTCAACTATAAAACTTGTACTAACAAGCTCTGCTTAGTTTGAAACTAGAAGGCGTTGTGACTGTGTGACTAACTTAAGTTTGTAAATTTAGGAAGTTTGGGAATCCCATTGCACTTATTTAAGATCTCTGGGTTTTTTACAGGCCGAAGTAGATAAAAATATTTGATAAGTGTGTAGGCACAATATCGATCGCTTACACGATATTTGTACTTACTGATATGATATCTCGTACAATGGTTTAGCCAGTATCGCTGTCTAAAACTGACTCGGAGTTTTATTATGGGTTCTCCCTTAGTCGGCCCTTACGACACCCACGGGATGAATAGGGGTGGTGAATCCGTCACCACACGGACGTTAAATTGTTTTGCATTTTAAAATAAATATTTTAAAACAAAATACACAATTCAAATACTCCAGAGTAGAGATAATAACAATACTTTGAGACAGGACACACAAAATCATCTGATTCTATACTAGGCATGCTGAAATTTTGGTAACCAGACTACTGATAAACTTACTATCATGCATGCAATATGCATAATAAGTAAGTATCAGTAGTCATACATATAAATATTGCATAAATATACCCTCACAGAAAACAGGTATTAAATAATTCTTACTTTGCTTTTCACCGAGAGAGTCTTACCGGAAGATAAAACCCCAGAGTTGGGGGGAGGGACTTAGCCCTCAAAAATAAACGCACTTGTGCCCCTATGTTGCACGTGTCCATACAAAAAAGTTATGAGTGTGTGAGTGGGCATCGAGCGCCGGCTCAACAGTAAAGATTCCTAAGAACTAGTATAACAAGCTCGTAAAATAATGAAACTAATCTCAATTTCTTTGTTCCAGACCCGAAGAAAACGAAGAGCTGATAGATGATTACTTCAACAGCATCAACATCGACCCCAATCCCTACCCTGGAGGTGAGAACATCAGGATCCGTCGTCAAGCCACCGATGCGCCAAACGAAACTGTTACAGAACTTCCAGATGCTGTCAATCCGGTCGAAACTAACAATAGCCTTGGGCCAAAAGTTATATCTGAACCAGTTCCCAGCAGCTCCATCAAGCTCATGGGTCTGAGAGTCGAAGAATCAGATAAAGAACCCAAATTCGTTGATAACTTAATTATCAGTGTGCTTCGGGACACGAACTTCCTTTTGAGACTCTTTGGTACTGGGTTCACGAATGATACCATAATAGCATATACGCACACAGCTGGCGAATATGGTGAAACTTGCGACCATTTACTTACTGGAGAATATAGGGTTAGTCTTCTTTTATTATTTTGTGGTAGAAGTTTACTTCACTTGAAACAGAAGATTGTAATTATATAGAAATACAGTACGGGGTAGCCTGCGAGGATGTGTAGCGACCCTGAATGTGTATGTGATGTGTAGTCACCTCGACGCTTCCTACTGCGCTGAGTTTTGTGAGTTCGATCCCCACATGTCACAACACTTTGTGTGGTCAATAAATTGTTGCTCTGAGTCTGGGTGTTCTTTGTGTCCGTTTCATGTATGTTTTTAAAGTCCCCCGCAACACAGGATTTATTCCTAATGCGGGCGTTGTCTTTTAAAAAAAAAAAAAAAAAAAAAAAAGATTAGCGCGTTCAAACAAACAAACAAACTTTTCAGCTTTATAATATTAGTATAGATTACTAGTGCAGGAGTTGTCTTAAAAGGTAGCGATAAGCCTCCCTCGAAGGTGCCACTATCTACAAAAACGAAAAGAAATACGACCAAGTGCGTGTTTGGCTACGCATAGTGTAAGGTTCCGTAGTTAACTTTTACTAGTTTAAACAAGAAGATATTTAAAAATTTGAGTTGAAGCTGGGCGACTAATACTTAAAGAATAGAGGTGAAACTGATAGCTGTTTGACACGATACCGGATATGTGGCCGCCGGACCTTGATTCTGTCTCTAAGTTGCGTGTCAACAGAAAAATGACATTATTGTAGAATCTTCAATAGAATATTGACATTTTTTGCTAGTTATCTCCACCGCAGCAGCAAATACCTCCCGATGTGAAGAGGTTACCTCTTTAAAATAATCCTAAATTGACCAAACCCAAACGAACAGGAAAAACTAACAAACTAAACTCCCATCAGGTTCACGTCGCGGAAGATGACTCAGCACTATTCCACCTGGTAGCTCCACCGCCTCTAGAAGACTACAGATTCTTCATCTGCGCCAAAAATTCTGCCAAAGACCATTTCATACACCAAGGCTCCGAGAAATGGAAGACTTTAGCCACACACAACAAACTCCTACCTCTTTGGGCTTCCTTGATCCTCATCGTGATCCTCTTGATGATGGCATCTTTGTTCTCTGGTCTCAACTTGGGTCTGATGGCCCTGGACCGAACTGAACTGAAGATTATTGCAAATACCGGAACAGAGAAGGAGAGGAAGTATGCCAGAGCTATCATGCCAGTCCGTGCTCACGGAAACTATCTCTTGTGTACAATTTTGCTCAGTAACGTGGCAGTTAATAGTACCTTCACGGTCATCCTGGATGACCTGACATCAGGTCTAGTGGCTGTCATAGGTTCCACGTTGGCTATTGTGTTCATTGCTGAGATTACTCCTCAGGCCATCTGTGCTAGACATGGGTTGTTTATTGGTGCGAAGAGTATTTGGATTATGAAGGTACGTTGATATTCAAATTTTTTAAGTTCTGAAATTTATCAATGGGGTTTTACGAAAATTTTTATTAATATTGTAAACACCATGAATAATAATAATATTTATTTTCAGAAAATTTGGTAGTTACATTAGGTGGTTTACAATGTTAAAAGCACAAGACAAATTTAGCTATATTTAGATAGCATGCATTTTTTTTAAATGATAGACATAAAATTATGAGAAAAAACAATTAAAACCATTAAATTGAAAAATATTAAAAATATTTACTACACTAATGCATTTCTGAAGGGATAGGACTGAGTAGAACAGTTTAAAAAAAAAAAACATTGACGGAGTAAAAGCACTCTGCTACTAGCCAATTTTTTATCGTAGCACAAAATTTGTGATAAGGAAGAGTTGCAATTATCGCCGGCAACGCGTTATAAATAAGTGGTGCCATATAAACACAGCACAACATAAAAATTTCTAGGCGAGGTACTGGTAATATAAAATACGAGTGAGTATTTTTACGTTTGTTGGTATTATCCTAGTAGTAGGCCAAAACCTCCTTTCTAAGGAGAGGCCTATGTCCAGCAGTGGACTGTTAAAGGCTGTTGTGCTATTGTCCTTAAGTACAAAGAGCTCTTTATTGAACTCCACAAATTTAGCTACTTAGATGATGAATATGCCAGAGACGGTCAACAGATTATGCGATACAAAGACAGGCCTGCATGAATCTGTCCATTTCAAACCGAATATTGTACGAAACGTTTTGTTTTGCGCTGAAAATACTCGTGTTATTTCTGATGTCCCCGAATAATAATGGCGTAACGAATTATGGAGGAAACATATGAATGGTAGACAATTAAAGCATTCTCCCTTTTTTTTTTTTTTTTTTTTAACGTGTGGAAATCCCCTTGGACCGTCACCCCGCCGGGGCTCTCGTTCGGCGGGGCGGTGTGTCGGACTCGAACCGACTAAAACCACACGGTGTGCCCTCTTTGCGCTTCCAGTTTAGGAGGGGTCCAGGTAGTTATCGCCTTCTGGACCCCTCCCAGCGCCGGCCCGCTCCTGTTGCGGGCTCCGTCTCAAAAAAATTTTCCTCTCTTTAGGCGACGTCCGACACACGCGGACGCCGCCCCCTCGCGGCTGGCCAAACTAATGCGGGTGGAGGGGAAAACCCATCCCGCCCAGCCGCGGCCACACTTAGGGCGGCATGAGGCGCAGGTAAGCGCGCCTCCGCCGCCCGGTTCGCCGGCGGCGGATCGGGTCCGAGTGGAGGTCGTCCTCCCGGGACTTCTCCGCCGCCTCCTTCTGCGAGATTACCTCCTCGCAGAAGGTTGCGACCGCGGTAAAAACACTGTCGCTACCGGCCATGGAGCGAACTACGGCCGGTAGCGAGAGATCCGCTCCGATGACTGCAGTGAGGGCCCGGCGCTGCGTTGCCCATGCGGGGCAGACCGCCAGCGTGTTCTGGGCCGAGTCCTCACTGCAGTCGCAGTGGTGGCAGGCGGGACTCGATTCCCTCCTAGCGACCGAGTACAGGTACTTTCCGAAGCAACCGTGCCCGGAAAGCACCTGCGTCAGCCGGAAGGTAAGGGTCCCGTGCTGCCGCCCTGGCCACTCGGAAAACAGTCTCCCTTGAAGCAACCTTTTTAACTTTTTTTAATGCAAAAACAAACGTATTGATCCTTTGTGCAAAAAAAAATCCGATGTGATACTTCCAAGTCAGATGTTCGTCCACTGTAACACTTAGATATTTTGTGCTCTGTATTTGTTCTATTTGTTGACCATTATAATTAACTGTTATTTGTTTTTGCTGTTCAGAAATGAATATATGGATATTTGTTACGTAATCACGCTAGAACGGCTAAACGAATCTTGATGGTATTTATTTAACACAGACATAGATTATAGTCTGGTATAGAACATGGATGCATTTTGTCGAGAAATCTGCGAATCTGCTAGTAAAAGCAGTAAATTATAACCAATTGATAAATTGTTAATCGCCGACTGCACGGCTGGTGTAGAGGTTTAAGCGGTCACCTCGTCTCTTACTACTGCGCTGAGTGTTGTGGGTCCGATCCCCACACAGGACAACACTTTCTATGATTTGTGATCTACAAATTGTTGTTCTGAGTCTGGGTGTTCTTTGTGTCCGTTTCCATGTATGTTTCCCTCGCGACATAGGATGTATTCCTAGTGCTGGAGTTGTCTTCAAAAAACAAAATATACGTATGCTCATCAGCAGTCTGGTTACCATAGCACAGGCTCTGCCTCCTTTGGGATCAGACCTTTGACCTTTTTGTTCTTAATGTCCCGTTATGATCTAGATTGTCATGGGTATCTGCGCTCCCCTCGCCTGGCCTACGAGCAAGTTGCTGGACTACTTCTTGGGTGAAGAGATCGGCACACATTACAATAGGGAGAGGCTAAAGGAACTTGTTAGGGTAAGTAATAAATATGTAAATAATTATTTTGGAACTGAATTTTTTTTATATACAGAGGTGTCGGTAACGGTAACAGTGTCGCGAGCTCAATTGTTTTTTCCAATCTCAAAAAGAACGTCTTTTGTTTATTGTTCAAAAATGCCCAACGCGCCTAAAGAAGTTTTCACTTCAAAAAAACATAAAAAGAGGCATATTATAGTCTGGAATAGAGTAGGTACATAGATTATTTTTATTACACAAAAGACGAGTCCCAGGCATAAACTAGTACTAACTAAATACATATCCTTCAGATAACAAATCACGTCAACGACCTGGATAAAGAAGAAGTGAACATAATCTCCGGAGCCCTGGACCTTCGCAAAAAGAAGGTCCTAGATGTGATGACCAAGTTGAAGGACTGCTTCATGCTCCCCATTACTTCAGTGTTGGACTTCGAAACCATGTCGGAGATCGTCAAGTCTGGTCAGCAATTTTCTTCATCATTATCATCTATCTACAGTATCCTTATTTTATTTCAGAAGGCTTCTTAAATTCTCGTAATAAAAGTTCGGTCAAAATTTAGTTCCATCTCGAGAATCTCACAAATGTCACTAAAGGTATTCTCGTAGTAAAGTATTAAACATCCAACGTTGACTGTAATTTGATTAAATCTGAATGAATTGGTAATCTGCTAGTCTTAGTAATACTTTACTATTCCACTACGAAATGTCATAAATGGTCATTTGTGAGATCGAGAGTTGATCGGAGAATTGGCCTTCTTGTCGGTTTTGGAAGGTTTTTGTTATGGCCGCCCTTCATACTTACCCCCCATTGGGAATGTAATCGCTTCTATGAAAAAAGGGGGTAAAGAAAATGATTAGATGAGGGAGCTAAAGTACGTGGTACTGCTAGTCTCAACCAGACTGATACAGCAGGATCTGGAAGAATGCGGGGGCCAAATGCGTGTCTGTCTTGTGATTGAAGGGGCCATATCCACCTATTCTTTATCTTCTATTCTTCATCCCTTAGGTTACTTTTTCAGGTAGAATATTCATATTACCTTAAGTATACAACCAATTAAATTTAAAAAAGTTCAGAAATAACTAAGAACAAACATATGTGGCGACTTCCACATACAATCAAACAAAAACATACTTCAGCGCTATCTATCGAAGATACACCGAACTACGGAGTAACTCCTAATCCTACATCGCGCAATGAAAGGTCTCGCGCATATACACAACTTCCTACAGACATCACAGGGAAAGTTCTCATGTTGGCTGGCGGCCCGCCAGGCATAATCGCTTCTCTTGGTCGGAGTCCTTATCCTTTGTGTTGGAGTCATAAAAATCAATTTCTTCAAAAAAATCAATCGAAATGAGAACCTCTTCCTTTTTGAGGGTTAAAAAGCTAACCAGTAATATTTTTCCAGGTTATTCAAGAATCCCAGTATACGAAGGCAACCGTACCAACATAATCACGGTACTGTTCATCAAGGATCTGGCGTTCGTAGACCCTGACGACAACACACCACTTCGCACCCTCTGCCAATATTATCAGAACCCTTGCAACTTCGTCTTCGAAGATGTCACCCTGGATGTTATGTTGAAGCAGTTTAAGGAAGGTGAGTGAGAGGAGAAGAAGGGGAACAAATATGTAATGGTGGGAGAGCCATGATTCGGTACATATGGGGCAGTTCTACCGGAGTGATAGGATAGCCTCACAGGAAAACAGTGTTAAATAATTCTTTCGTTGCCCTCTTCCCCTTCCTCGTAATTCTAGGGTAGCGATTCAAAGGGCGTCACCGCGCTTGTGCATAAAGTGTAAGCATAGAATGAACATGTGCATAGAATTAGCAACGAGAGAGATGGATAATAGATAGTCCCCTCTATCCCTTTCTAGCCGAACTCTGCGGTTGGCTGGGGAATATGAGGGTTTATTAAGTAGTCAATCGCATCTTAGCTAAATAGAGACAGAGGGAACTATCGGACATTTATCTCTCTCTTTGCCTGTATCGCTCCCACTTACAGGCAGCTGTACCCCATGTTCTCTCTATGCACTTGTGAATCTGAGGTGTGACTGCACAGATAGGTTTAAGCGGTCACCTCGCCACTTTCTACTGCGCTAAGTGTTGTGGGTTCGATCCCCACATGGAAAGACACTTTGTGTGACCCACCAATTGTTGTTCTGAGTCTGGGTGTTCTTTGTGACACAGAGTCATATACCCAGTGCAAGGATTGTCTTTAAAAAAAAAGTTTCAGGTGTCCAGGGCTAGTAGTCACTTTCCATCCGATGACCTGTTTAATCTTTTGCCACATAATTAAAAAAATACAATAACGTGCTCCATTTGCGTTGTGGTTTGAAAAAAAAAGTTTAAAAATAAATTAACATCTGTCTAAATCTCGGATCCCGATTAATTTCCTAAAAGCTACACGTGCCTCGCAACCGTAGTTTTGTGCGATAAATAATAAATTAAAATAAATAAGCTGTCCGCCATGATTCATAGACAACCTTGTAACGACGGTGTACTTTTTCACATTCTATTTTTGAAACGAGTTGGCGCGCTTTCCAGTCGTTCTAGTTTTGAATTTACTGAGGAAAATATTTTTAAATTATGTTTGTACGTAGATTAAATGCGGACTCTTGGAATTTAGGAGACACATGCTTCTGATTATGATTCGGTGTTGGCTTCAGAGAAAGTCTGAGTTAAGCAATTCTTTCGGTGCTTTTCATCAAGTGAGGTTGAGGTTACCAAAAACCACCCCCACTCCCATGGTTCTCGGGTGGAGTTCAAAGGGTAGCATCGCCCTTGTGACTTATATGTATCCATAGGTGGCGGTAGTCACTTATCATTAGGCGACCCGTCTGTTGGTTTACCTCCCCCCCCACTCCCTATACCATAAAAAACCTGATGTTTTCCTGTTTCTATTATAGTTTTTATGTTCCCTACCTAGTTTGGGAAAAGACTCACAGAAAGATGATAAAATATCTACATGATTTTTGTTATAGGTCACAAGGGGCACATGGCGTTCGTCCAGCGCATCGAGGAGGGTGAAGGTGACCCGGTGTATGAAACTATTGGTCTGGTCACACTGGAGGACGTCATCGAGGAGATGATCCAGGCCGAGATTGTCGATGAGAGTGACGTTTTCAGTAAGTTTTATAAATCAGTTTATCAGTTTTAAAGCCATCTCTGATGATGTTCCCGGAGCCCTATTCCCTGAACTGTTAAGCTACAGGTGTCAATTAACGGCGGTAATCACTTATCATCAGATGACCCGTCTGCTTGTTTGCAGCCTATATCGTAAAAAATGTGTGAATGGAATAATATTTTTTTTTTTTAAACTTTAGGCGACAACCGCACAAAGAAACGCTTGTTGCGTCCAGTCAACAAGTTCCAAGACCTGGCAGCGTTCGCTGGTCATCACGAGCATCAGCGAGTCCACGTGTCTCCGCAGTTGACTCTCGCCACCTTCCAGTTCCTCAACACCAGTAAGCATATAATCTATTCTCTGATTTCAATCCACTTTGGATAAGATTTTTTCTACAGTAAAACATTCAGCGCCATCTAGCAAATACAAGCCGAACTATATAAGAACCATTGATCCTACATCTCACAATTGAAGTTCTTGCACTATACGTTGTGTCAAAGAGCGCAATCATCCTCATACTGGATATTTCCCCAGAAACGTACAGAAATCAAAACTTATATTATAAGAAAAAAATAAGTAACCAATTAAAATTAGAATTTACTTTACACTAGTAAAAATAGTAAATAAAATAAATTAAAAAACCTTTAACTGTTGTACTGGTATTTCATATACCTTAATTTGCCCCCAGGTGTTGATCCGTTCCGCTCCGACTTGATCTCGGAGACTGTGCTCCGTCGTCTGCTCAAACAGGATGTCATACAACACATCAAGCTGCGTGGAGACGAGGAGAAGAACGACCCTAAGAGATACGTCTTCCAAGAAGGAAAACCGGTAAGCAACTGCTCTTCTCTTCTTTAATTTTAGCTTGGGAGAGTGATGCTTCGGCACATGACACCACGTTCTCACAGAAAACCGCTGTTAAGTTCATCGAGTGAGTGAGACCCAATCCATTATTAAATGGGCAGGCAATCAAAGGCCTGGCAAATAACTGTTGGCTGCAGGTGTTCATGGGTAGCGGTAGTTACTCACCAGCTAGTAACTTGTAGGGATGAAAACAAATCACAATCGCATGCGGTAAATCATATGATTTGTAAATCATATCATCACACCTGTGACTAATTTACAAAACCACTACTACTTAATTATTATAATTACGCTAGCGCAAGTTTCGAAAGGGCTTGAATAGAAAAAAAATAGAACACAAAATAAGTCTTATTAGATATATAGCAGAAAAATGATTTGGTTTCACCATATCTCGAAATTAGAGGAAATTTCAAGATCCTCTCAAAGTAAAAAACATTATTATACAAAAAACTAGCTGACCCGGCAAACGTTGTTTTGCCATATACATTATTTCGATTTTTTTGGGCAAGAATTAGGGTTATGAAAAATAGATGTGCACACAAAATTTCACGAAAATCGGTCGAGCCGTTTCGGAGAAGTTCATTTTATATATTAATTATGAATTTTATATATTAGATTACTCAGCATTTAGGGATTTTTAAAATATTTTTATTTATTGACTGTGGTTTAGGTCATAAATTTGGTTAACTTGACAGCCCCAAAATTCATTCACACACAGAGAGAGCTGCCGCCATTACAGTGCCTCAGTTTTGTGTTGGCGAGAGTCCCGTCCGATTTTTTTTATACGTCCATGACCTATGCCTAAAAACCAGTTTAAATATTTTTTGTCTGTCTGTTTGTTCTGGATAATCTTCTAAACGGCTGGAACGATTTTGATAATATTTTAATACCAGGCAGCTGACTATATAAGGAGTAACTTAGGCTATTTTCCTCTCAGAAAAACCCTTTAAAATTTTGCACGGCTAATGCAGCACTTTTCAAATTCCACGCAATTCCAGAAATACTCGTATAAAAGTATGTCTATCAACAGTCTAGGTACCATAGTACAGGCTCTGCTGAGTTTGGGTTCAGACCACCATGTGTGAGATGTGTCAATTTATTATTATTAATGTGCGTTAATCTTATTCAGGTGGATTACTTCGTGCTGATACTGGAAGGTCGCGTGGAGGTGACGGTGGGCCGGGAGAACCTCGTATTCGAAGCTGGACCCTTCACCTACTTCGGAGTCCAGGCCCTCACGCAGAATGTCGGCCTCGGTGAGTTATCATAACAATTTGGTCTGTGTGTTTCTATGTATAATATGTATGTATTTACAAAAAAAAGTACATATGTTTTTATATATGTTGTCTGGTACCCATAGTACAAGCTCTGCTTAGTTTGGGACTAGATGGCGTTGTGTGAATATGGTAAAAAAAAATATGGTACCTTTTAAACAAGAGTTCTTAATTCATCATCATCACATCAACAACCTATGGTAGTCCACTGCTGAAGCCAGGCCTCTCCTTAGGAAGGAGGTTTTTGCCTACTATACCACGCTGGCCAGACGGGTTGGTATAGGGTGTGTTTTAAGTTTTCTTTCTCTTTGCAGTGCTGTTGTCTTGCGTAGTTTTCTCCCTTAGTCGACTTTTACGACACCCACGGGATGAATAGGGGTGGTGACATTACGTATTCTTAATCCGTCACCACACGGATCTTAATTCATCATCACATAATCAACAGCCTTTAATAGTCCACTGCTGGACTATTAAAGGCTTGGCCTCTCCTTACAATGGAGGTGACCCTGACTGCTAAGCCGGAGGTTCGATTTCCAGCCAGGTCAAATAATTGTGTGATGAGCACGATGATTTGTTGTGTCTGGGTGTAATTTATCTATGATATGTATCTATTTAGAGATATATAAGTATGTTTATCAGCTGTCTGGTTACCATAGCACAGGCTCTGCCTAGTTTGGGATATCATGTTCATAAATTTCACTGCATTTCCTTATTTATTGGGCAACTCTGCCCATTTTTCTGATCATAAAACACTTTATTTAGACTTTTTAACATATTAAACACTGTATTTTGATCAGGGTACCGCTCGCGTTAAAGTTTAATTCCAGACCACAACCTATATTTGTTCTAATATTTTTTTCAAATCTTTTATGCTGTTCATTTAATTTAATAATAATAATAATATAATATTGGTCCACATTTACACAACGCCATCTAGTCCCAAACTAAACAGAGCTTGTACTATGGGTACTAGACAACTTATATCAATACATAAATGCTTTTTTTTTTGTAAATACATACATATTATACATAGAAACACCCAGACCAAATCAAACATTAAATGTTCATTCACACAAATGTTTGACTTGAGCGGGAATCGAACCCGCGACCTTCGAAAGCAGTCCGTTACACAAACCACTACGCCATCCGGTCGTCATGACAAACAATGATCTATTTAAAACTTATAAACAGTTGTAAGATACATATACATATGGTCTGAATACAGAACCATCCTTTTTAAAATCGGTTTATAATTCTTCCTGTATTGTTCCAGCCGAAGCCCCAGCACCATCATCGCTGGGCTCCCTGCAGAATCTGAATATGGACTCTATGCTACGCCACACCTTTGTTCCTGACTATTCAGTACGGGCCATCGCCGAACTCTACTACTTGACTATTAAGAGGTATGTCCACTCCCACTGTTGGGCAAAGGAGCTGGGGTGATCGCTCATTCATACAACTAATTTACATACCTACTCATCATCAGCAGCAGCAGCATTTACTAGTCCACTGCTAGGCCTCTCCTTAGAAAGGAGGTTTTTGCCTACTTTACCACGCTGGCCAGCAGAAGGGTTGCTACAGGGTTTGTGTCAAGCTTTCCTTCTCTTTGCAGTGCTGTTGTCCTGCTTAGTTTACTCCCTTAGTCGGCTCTTACGACACCCACGGATAGAATAGGGGTGGTGACGCTCTGTATTCTTAATTCGTATAAGCAATATAATATACCTTTCCTACCACTGCCTTCCATCTTATCTACCTTTCCTTAATATACACTTCCAAAGTCTTCATCTAGGTTGGTGGGTGGACAAAAACCGCACGCCGTCTCGGGTACCAGTAGCCGGGGAACCAGGTGTACCCTAGGAAGGACATTCCTGGGTTTGTCCCCCTGATGTAGGACTAAAATTATAGTGAACAAAATGTAAACGTTTCATACGTCTCTGCACCCCTCTATTTAGGAGTATAGGCATGAGTGTTGACTGCACGGATGGCGTAGAGGTTTAAGCGGTCACCTCGTCATTTCCTACTACGCTGAGTGTTGTGGGTTCGATCCCCACACGGGAAGACACTTTGTGTGATCCACAATTTGTTGTTCTGAGTCTGAGTAATCTTTGTGTCCGTCTGAATGAATGTGTTTAAAGTCCCCCGCAACATGGAGGAGGAGGAGGAGGAGGAGGATATGAGTATATACCTAGTCTTTTAAAAAAAGTATTTATGTGAGTATGTAATATATAGACATACCTATTGTCACCGTCACCTCTTACGGCGTTTACCATCAAAAGACCTGTTCCACACTTTACCATACTTGTCCTACACTTTGCTTGCATAAAACTATACACAGATATACAGACAGACTGTATTTAATATGTAACTTTCCAGGTCAATGTACTTAGCAGCCAAACGCGCCACCCTCATGGAGAAGGGGGTGCTGAACAGGGGCGGAACTAACGAACAAATCGAACCAGAAGTAGACAAGGTATGCTACTCTCATTTTTACGTATTCACTTGTGTGATTTTCACATACAACGAAAAACATACTTCAGCGCCATCTAATGAAGACACACCGAACTACGGAGTAACTAAGTAATCCTGTATCGCGCAATGAAAGGTCTCGCGCATATATGTATATATATATATACTTCCCACAGGCATGAGCCAGGCCTGGTGGGAGGCTACTTCTTCTGTGTTTCGGTTTTGCTCGCGTGTTGTAAATTGTTTTTTAACTTTGGATATACAATTTTCTTCTGCATGAAAGATACCCTCCCTAAGAACTGGCCTCCCAACTGACTTAGTCTGATTCCTACTTCTGCCACCACAGGAAACCAGTATCATTCAATTCTTGCATTTTTCTTCTTGCTATTCACTAAGTGAATGAGGTTACCGGAGAACTAACCTACCCTCCCTAGGTTTGGAGAAGGTTGTTGCTCACTTACCATCAAGTGACCCGTCGGCTCGTTTGCCCCCCATATTACATAAAAAAAAAGAAATACCTTTAATTGGTTTAATTGAAATATTTATTTTTATTTGAGTTTAAATTATTTTGGCTTTTTTTTCTAATTATTATTAAATCTCTTTCAGCTTCTTCGCGAAGGTGACAACCCTAGGATTGAGGAGATCAGGGAAGAGGTACCAGCGGAAGCTGGTAAACCGGTAAGTTTGATTTTTTTTATATTAATAACTGAAGAAAGTTCTTTTTAAGAATTTCGCACACTTACTCCTTACTTCTTCGACTCCTGAGTTGATGAAGTAAGGAGATGGAAAGTGGAGTGGATGGAACCTGATGGAAAGTGAAAGTGACGGTAGTCACTTTCCATCATGTAACCCGTCTGCTAGTCTGCCCCCTCTATCATAAAAAAAACTTAAGAATGTGAAATCTTTAATATTTACGTATTCAAAAGTGCAGAAAGAAAATAAAATGCGAAAGTACCTAGAATAAGCTATATGCGTCTCATTAACATATTATGTTGAACTTTTATAATATGTAAAATATATATAATGACAGTTCAAGTTACACTGGTTTAGTTGTATTTGTAAAATAATATTAATAATTTACAAATTAATGGAAAAAATATAATTAAATTAAATGTTTACAGTCTAATAGGAAGCAAGTCTACACGGTGATTTTGAAAGCGTTTTGGAAACGAAATATTTGAATTTGGAATCATCTATAGTACCAATAAAAATGATTAAATCAATTGTAATGTTGTCTAAAAAAAAGTTTCAGTTTTAATATTCATTTTTACTCGATCGACTTGGAAAGTAGTAATGGACTGATCGTTCATTCATTATCTTATATGAATGAAACACGTCCGTGGGCGTTTCGGCGGCCGCTGCGCACCGCCGACGCTAACAGCAGCTGACAAAACTATACCTATAGGCGCGAGCTAGCGAGTACTTACGTAGATAGACTCCAATTTGTCCTTCATACTTTACACGGGCTTAGGACCGTCAGAAATACCTATTTTATTTAAACTTCTTTTCGATTATTAACCACGATTGTTCTTTTCACAACAAATCAATTTATCAACGGACTGTAGGTATAAATATTTCAAGCGTATTTAAAAAATCGGAGCTATCTACAGAATAATTAACTTACATACCTATTTACACTATTTACAGTTCTCTGTATCGAAGGAACTGCTCAAAATGGAGTCCGCTGCATTTAATACACAAACGTCCACGTTTAATGCAATTGTTTTTTAATTTTCTTAATGTGTCTCTATCACTTTTCACTTTAAAGCGTCCACTATCGCAATGCGTAAATTATCACGGCTTTCATATTCCCGTGTATTAACAAGTCTTTTTATTTCCGACCATAAGAAAAAATCCAGGGGCGTTAAGTCCGATCACTAAGCTCATTGTCCAGGTATGCACGCACTATACTCCGGCGAATAATAATTAAAACGTCCTTGACCTTGCGCATGAGTAGGCGCACGAAATTGTCCGTGGTCGAGAAGACGTTGGGTTGCAGCCAAGATGGTAGGTGTGGAGGGAATTTGAGGGCTTTCAATTCCACGTAGCCGTAGTGCATTTAAATGCTCCGGCTTGGGAATACAAACGCCGAGCCTCTTCCAAGTTGTAGTTGGCAGTAGCGTACAGCTGTACCATTGCCAAGAAGTATTCCACGTTTGAAAATTTGTACTGTCGACTCATTTTAGCGCTAATCAATGCAGCGTGCCGTCACGATGTTATGGTATTACTGACCGACTGACGATGACAGGTGAGCCCCGCGCATGCGCCTACGGGGCAGACGTCATTGGTTGGACGACTCCGGCGCAACTCGGTAGCTTTGTTTTTATTGGCGAATACGATTTGATGTGACTCGATATTAAAACGCATAGTATTTCTATTCGTAGTATTTACCTACGTGTGATTGAATAGCCTACTACTACTGGTTCTGACTTTTTCTCTGTAAACGATATGAATATCGACTTTGATGATAAAAAAAAATATATTTTATTAAATTAACGTTATATATAGCTTCTGTTACTGATAAATAACTCAAAATTTTCTTTTCCAAAACGCTTTCAAAATCACCGTGTATATTGTCACGTTAATTAATTAATTTGTAATTTAATTACAAAATTAATTTGTAATTAATTGAATAGAGATAAGTCTAAATGACAATCAATATAAAATGTATTTTTCTATTTGCACGCTGCCAGAGTTTGGAAATCGTTAAAATTAGATATTAAGATATGGTTGGTATAATATATATTTTATTATCATTATCTTTACATAGTATAAAATGAAGTCAATTTCAATGTGGTTTTCACCAATAGAGACAGTGATTCAAGATGCGGGTTTATATGTATAATACATGCATTTTATAGCGGAGGAAATCTGAGAATTTTAAAGATTTGTAATGTGAAGTCGGCCGAAGTCCGACAGTACAGTCCGGAGCGGCGTATAATAAAGATCAATCATAATAATAGTATAGTTAATTACTCCACACTGACACCACCTTAGTAGTAGTAGTGTCTACTTTGCACCCGTGCAAAGCCGGGGCGGATATCTAGTACATATATATAAAAGGACATCTTAATAATAAGAACCCGACACATCTAAAACCTTCGCCTGATCCCAAACTAGGCAGCCTGTACTATGGTAACCATAGTGACCCTGACTGCTAAGCCAGAGGTCGTGGGTGCGATTCCCACCCAGAACAAATAATTGTATACTGAGCATGATCGTTTGTTTTTTGTCTAGGTGTGGTTTATGTATAATAGGTGTGTATTTAGAAATAAATAAGTATGTTTATCAGCAGTCTGGTAACCATAGTACAGGCTCCTCCTAGTTTGGAATCAGACGGCTGTGTGTGAGATGTGTGAGGTTATTATTATTATTTTTGAAGTGAAAATTTCGCGTTGTGCATGTGTTGAATAACAAACAAAATAATGTATTTTTTGAGATGGGAAAAACCATTGAACTCGCGACACTGTTACCGTTACGACACCTCTGTATATAAGTATCTACATATATTGGACCCGTTTACACGAGAGTTGAGTTTGGGTTGTAATACATTGATAATATAACTATATATAATATAAACATATATTGTGTATATACGTATAACATAGATATATATTCTTGTCGGAATTTTCCAGTCGAAAAAAAACTTCTGTCGGCACTCCCGGAGTGCCACTGTTTTTTTTTTTACCATTATATATTCAAATGTCATTCTGTTTGTCCTTTATAGTACGTCCCGACGTCTGCCAGTCCTCACACGAACGCCACCTTCAAGTCCGGCGACAAGGACGACTCGTACAACTCAGAAGAAGAGAAATTACTGAAGAAGTAATCTACTTCTAGAAGAAAACATGCTTTTTCTATTCTTTTTTCTACTTGAAAGAATTGACGAGATAATGAATCTAGCATTACTAAGAAGACATCTAAAGCGGGCTTTTCATCGGCTGACATGTCAGCCAACTCGTCGGAAATGGCATGTTTTTTGATGTTGTTTTTTTTCTATAATGTAGTGATTAGTATCGACGGATGATGTTCCGTATGTAACATTAATGTGAATGAGAAAAAAATAATTTTGTATGAATAGAAAAATACTTAAATAATTTTAAGTAAATCTGTGTAATTTTGACCAATTTTGTTATCCAAAAAGTATGAAAAATATGACAGCTGTGTACTCCTTTTGTTCATGTACAATATATAATATGAATAGATTTTATCTGCCATTTAAATCTGTCCGCTGTTATTACAGAGTGCTAAATATTTGTAAGGGTGCGAGAGAGCGGACAGGGGAGGTTCTTTAGAACATCCCCTAAGCAAATTATTAAGTTCCTACACACTGCCTATTACATAATTTTTTTTTACCTGACATGGCTGTTGATAAATTCAACGGCCTGTACGAAAGTCGGTTGTCCATCGGTATGTGTGTAAGTTCTTTTATATATTTGCTTACGTTATAATTTATTTAGCTTTACATCAAAAGAAAGAAATCAATTTAATTGTATTAAGCTTCCTAATGTTTTTTTCTACGTAATTTTAGATACTTATACAGTTGTTGATTGATCAGTTGGTATCTTTTTAATCAAATAATTTGATTCGTGATATGTTGGCCGATTTGCTGGCTTGGTGTTTTTAATGTTGTTACAAATTATTGAATTAAAAGATATCAAATGATTTTTTTTAAATATTTTTTAAGGTCTTTACTATGAACGCGAACACAGTGCCTTTGAATTAAGTGAAACCTCAAATACGTTTTATACAATTATTAAATTAATAAAATATCTATACAATAAAACTTAACATGTTTTCTGTGCGTTGTAATAAAAAAATATAAATTACGTATTTTTTTAAATGAATTTAAAATGTCCATATTCTGTTTTCAGAAAAAAATGTGAATGAATATAAAATGATTAATAAAAAATAAATAAAACGATTAAATTTTAATTAATAAATAAATACCCAGCACTACATATTAAATTAATTATATGTCAGATGGCATTTTCAACAACAGAATTAAACAAATACTGACTCTAAGACAATAAAAATAGAGTTTAATTTGAAACTAACAGTCATAGGCCAGGCTCGACCGAAGTGATAGCACGGCCTCACAGAAAACCGGTGTTATGGAGTTCTTTTGTTGTTTTTCACCGAGTCTGTGAGAATCACCCCCCTCTCTCACTGATTCTGGGGGGAGTAGCAGGTCTCCATGGGCGGTGGTAATCGTTTACCATCAGGTGAGCCATCTGTTCGTTTGCCCCACTCCCCATACCATAAAAAAATACAAACCAATTGTGTATTATTTATAACAAGCTAGAGTTCATATTACATTGACTGTCATCAATCAATGATTTTCAGTCATGTGTTAATTGACAAGTGCCTTATAAATAGTCAATAGTGTTATAATCAGAATGCATGTATGTTTGGCACTCAATCACAAAACGGCTGGACAGATCTGGGTAAAATTTACCACAAAGATAGACTGGCATAGAACATAGTCGAATTTTAACCAAGAAAAAATCGATTGATCAAATCGATATTAACGGAAGCAAAGCCGGCTAGCAAATGATAGTTTAAATAGATATGTATATTATTTAATATACGTATTATATAAATAAATATATAGTGCCTTATTTACGTAAAGGAATTTGTACAACTTTTTAAACAAAATGGCTCTCGAAACATTTTTAAACAATATGTGCTGTAAACTTATGTAAATACAGCTACATAAGACTATAAGGGTCCAGTATATGTTGACCTGTCGTGGTACAAGAATCTATATACAATGGGAGTTCAAGTTAAACACGACTGGTTTGATTGGCTTTACAGAAATACAGTGATACACTCCTCACCCTAATTAAGGGGGAGGGGAGGGCATTTATATCACTTGAATTGCATATGTCTATGTGCGGTGGTACTCGCTTACCATCAGGTGTCATGCTCGATTACCCCCGTTGCTATGAAGAAAAATATTTATATATTACATCGCACGAAATATGTTATAAGTAAAAATAAAACATACATTTTGTTAAGGGTTGGATTTCATTTAGCCGAACATCATCTTAAATAAGTGCTCTTTTGTTAGAAGTTTATAAGAAAAAGACCAGGCTGATACGACCTTCAAACCTTCAAGAATAAAGCCTACTCCTTCCTTATAAGGCCGGCAACGCGTTTGTGACTCCTGAGTTGCAGACGTTCATGGGCGGCGATGGTCAGTTTCCATCAGGTGACCCGATTGCACGTTTGCTACCTCTTCCTTTAAAAATATTTCCTCAAGAATTTACTAATTCTGTGCAAATTATTTTACGACTAAATTAACTGTTTGGTATTAAAAATTCTCTACATAAAGCATTATGATAGCCTTTTAAAAAAATATTACGGGCCTTTTACCGTTCTTCATTATTTAATTTTCCACTCTTAGAGGTAGTATTTCTTTTTTAAACTTGATCAAAACCAAACTAAGTAGGGTATACCAAATAAAAAAAGAATTTTCCAAATCGGTTAAGAAAAGGCAAAGTTTTGAGGTGACAAACATGAAAAAAATACAGCCGAATTAACAACCTTCTGTATTTTGGAAGTCAGTTGAAAACGGTACTCTCTGTTAAATAATTGTATGAGATAACGGTTTGTGACGTCATAAGTCGCTAATGTCAAATTAACAACGTTCGGTTTGACAATAAAAGTAATAATGTATTTAGAAAATAGTAACTAGGTTTTTTTTTTAATTAACGAGATTTTTATACTAGCCTACTATATTAAAGAAATATGAAATAACCGGTTTTTTTTATAATTTGTTTCCAGCTTCTAAGGGTGGGAAATTAAGGGATAGATTGTTTGACTATACCACGAATCGGGCGTAAATTTACCTTTTAAAAGATTTCAAATAATTCAAGACTTGCACTAAAACGTGATACGGCCTAGTGAACCAACCTTTATGAGAAAAAGAGATGTCCGAAAAATAACCAAGTGATTAGAGAGAGATGGAAGATTTTAGTTTTCACTATCGTACGTGTGGGATGTAGCTGCATGATACAAATTATTATATTTTTAACAAGTTTTTCTGTTGAAGCATTTCTTCGTGTGTTAACAAAAATGTAGAATAGATGTCTATTGCTGTAGTTTTATATTGCATTATACATATACTGGAGAGTCTTTACATTTAAAATAAAAAAAAAATTGTCGACTTCACCCCCTAAACTGCTTGACCTACTGTTATGAATACAAAGCAACTATAATTTATTTAAAATAATTACCAAACCTACCATTAAATTTTGAATATGGCAACTTTAACTTACTTTGGGGAACACCCATAAACTACTTATTTTTTATCATTCATTCGTATATGACATTGTAAACCTTAAAATACACAGAATACTATTTACTTTGACAAAAATCTAATAATAAATACGGTGTAAGGGACATCGTCACGAATACTGAAATAGTGTATTCAGACCATCATTACGAGTCTAAAATCATCAGCTGTCAAAGGTAAAGGTCATTCCTCGTAGGTATCGCACAAAAGTAATAACTAGATGTGTATTCCGTGCAAACAGTCGACGCACACTAACATTTAGCGGCCGGAAGGAAAGCCCCGCGCGCTTCGACTATTTGATTAATTACATTGCAGTTTTTGACCGTATTTATTAACTTGTTTTCGGTTAAATGTTCTGTTTACTCATTGTGATATCATTATTAAGCTAAAAAATAGAAAATTCTAAAACAAAAAATGAATTCTCCGGCAGAAAATTCTAATGATTTTCGACTCACAATTATGGTCTGAATACACTTTTTCAGTATTCGTTACGATGCCCCTTACATCGTGTATATACAATATTTTTTTATACAATGTTTATGTATAAAAAATCTCTCCAGTATCAATTTTATAGAGTTATATACGCAATACATATTAAAGTTCAAATATCTGTCTGTGCCTTATTTTTATGTATAAAAATACGTTATATAAACTTTGTACTTACTATAATTAGCTGTATAAATACAAATGTATAAAAAATATTATAATAATTATGTTTTGTATACTGTGTTATTATTACTAACTATAGTCGGCCTGTCGCGTCTTGACCTCTAATGAAACAAAATGTGTTTAATATTGTTTAAAAATTGGCGTATATACAATGGCGGACTTAATGTCATAGGGATTCTACCTCATAGGGATATAAGCATAGAGAGAACACGGGGTACATCTGCCTGTAAGTGGAAGCGGCAACGAGAGAGATGGATGCCCGATAGTTCCCTCTGTCTCTGTTTAGCTGAGCTGTTAATGGCTATCCTCAAGTGGGCATGGTTTTGATAATGGAACAAGCGGGAGATTAGAAATTTCCACAGCCAACCACAGAGCTCGACTAGAAAAAGATAGAGAGAACTGAGTTTGAGTTTTTGAGTTTTTTTTTAAGACAACTCCCGCACTAGGAATATATCCTGTGTCGCGGTTGACTTTACAAACATACATGAAACGGACACAAAGAACACCCAGACTCAGAACAACAATTTGTGGGTCACACAAGGTGTCGTCCCATGTGGGGTTTGAACCCACAACACTTGCGTAGTAGGAAGCGGCGTGGCGACCGCTTAAACCACTACGCCATCCGTGCAGTCAACTATCTATAATAATAATAATATATTTATTTGTCAGAATATAGGTGTACAGAGTTGTTAGTAGGTACGTTTCAGATGCTAGCTGATCCATCTCTCTCGTTACCTATATTGCAAGATTGGGGCTCTTGTTAACTCTTATATCTCAATGGTCTACCTAGTCTAACTAACGGTGTGGAAATCAGTGATAAGGTGCACTACACTTGAGTTAGGAATTCTAGATTCAAACAAAAAAGTAATAAGAAGGCAAGAGAAGAAAGGGGGGGAAACTATGTATACATGCAAACAAAATATACAGACAGAGCCTTCGATACCCCACATACAGATACATAGCATAGAGGCAGTATTGATTAATTATATTTAATTTACAGAACGAATAAGAAGAATAGGTATTTGTTTGTACTCATGTATGTATTTCGGGGAAGCTCATAATCAGGGAGCAACTCGACCTGGTACAACAGTGGCACTTCGTTTCTTGATAAAGGGTTCCACCGATGTCAGTGCCGTGACACACGCGTGACTAGACTAGAAGTAATATTTTATTGTCTATACAAATAAATAAAACTGAAATGTCTGTTTGTAATGTCAAAATAGTTTCTTTTTCATGCTCACACGGTTATTTCCACGATACCTAGGCCTAAAAACCAATTTTGTTTTTGCCTGTCTGTCTGTTTGTTCCGGGTAATCATCTAAACGGCTGGACTGATTTCGATAATATTTTACTACCAGGTAGCTGGCTACATAAGGAATAACTTAGGCTATTTTTCGTCTCAGAAAACCCTTTAAAATTTTGCTCGGTGCGGGCATCGAACCCACTAAGGCAACGCTTTTCAAATTCGCGGGTACCAGCAAGTTAATAATAATATTATTGTTTATAAGATAATGTCAGTCTATTTTCTGATACTTTTACACCAATAAATACACTTGAAATCCAAACCCTAATGCCAATCTGAGTGGATTGTTTATAATAGTGCCAATAACTTCCAATAGGCAGTAACATCAATGGATTTGTCTCTTTAAATACGTTTCACACTTTTGAAAAACTTATTGAACTTAACTTTAAACCAACTAAAATTGTATTTAATTATCGAAATCAGATGTACTTTAAAATGGCCCACACTCACCACCAAAGTATTTCATCAATCAATTGATATTATATAAAATTGATAATGATAAAAGCGGCTGTAGCCTAGTGGTTAAGGCATTGGACCTGCGATCAAGAGGTCGTGGGTTCGAATCCTGACCAGTACACTACCGACGTGAACCCACTCCTAGCACAAGCAATTTAGCTTAGCTGGAGGGGTTAACGGGAATACTAGTAATTTCGTTTTCTAGTAAGCCAAAAAAGAAAATGGTTAAATTTTATTGTACTAAAAGTTATGATAGATTTTAAATAATCATAATAATTTATTTACCATAAAATGTAAAAAAAACTTATGTAATTACTAGCCTTATCTTGTTGCTTACTACTCTTCCTCCAATGCGCCATGGCGTGATATTATTATATAAAAACTGTCCATTGTATACGCAAAAAAACCTATCAAATCTTCTGAATTCTGCTAATGTCAGCGCGACCGGCTGAATTTAAGTTTAACAGCCTTAGCGACACTGCCATTTATTGTCAATCATAGTCTAACATTTATAACAAAAAAGCTTCGATCTGTATTGCCAGGTTAAATAATTAATAATGTACTTATATATTTTTTTGTGTATAGCAACATTGTTTATCCGCCAATCAATTGTATTAGATAATTAGCGTCACGTTTTTATTTAATTAAAATGTTTATTAGTTTAATTAACTCCTTTTGAAACATGATTTTAATCGAGCATTTATTTCGAATTTTTCGTAAATAAATGGTTTCTTATATAGAGTTTTTTTGGTTTTCTTTTATATTAATGAGTCCCGTATTTGGAGAAAAAGAAAAGTAGGTTATTTTTTACTACAAAACGCACAGATAGGTTTTTATAGATGAACGAGCCCTCGCTAGATTATTTCTTTGAAAATGACGGACTTTCAAACAACCGTTGATCCCTTATTTTACCCTGTTAGGGGTTAAATTTCCAAAAATCATTTCTTAGTGGGTGCTTACAACATAGAAAGCTTCAGCTCCCAAAATTTCAAGTTTGTAGCCCCAGCGGTTTAGCCTCTGCGTTGATAAATCAATCACTCTGGGCTATTAATTTCCTAGGTATAAATTACTCCCAGAGAAACAAATGATCGTACACATCACACAATTATTTGCCCTAGGTGGGATTCGAACCCACGACCTCTGATTCACCAGTCAGGATCGCTAACCACTTGACTCTATAGTAACACGTCCGTCAAATACGTTTTACATATTTACAAGATCAAATAAAACTACAATTTAATAAACTAAAACGTTTATTGTATTATAAAACTATTATTTTACAATTATTCTATTACAATACATATTTAGGGTCACGATGCCAATTTGCTGATGTCCTCGTACTGAAGGGCTTTGACGAGACGACCGGTGAGGGGGCCCTCCGCTATCTGGAAATAAAATATTAAGATTTAATAAAGTCATGGAGCGTTTGTCTTCTAACTCAAGACATACCAATTCTCGTAATGAAAATTTCTTAAAAATTCAGTTCCGAGCCCTCGATCTCACAAATGTTATAAAAGGTATTCTCGTAACAACGTTTTTTTTTAAAGACAACCTGCATTAGGAATGTATATCCTGTGTCGCGGGAGACTTTTACAAAAATACATGAAACGGATACAAAGAACACCCAGACTCTGAACAACAATTTGTGGATCATACAAAGTGACACCACTTCCATCCCGTCCCATGTGGGGATCGAACCCGCAAAGCTCAGCGTAGTAGGAAGCGGCGTGGCGCCCAAATCACTAAGCCATCTATCCGTACATCCATCGTTGACTGTAATGTGATCATATCGTATTGTGACCGAAAGAACAATGGCAGAAACATATTTACCTAAAACTTAAGCGTTTAAAAAATCGAGTCACAGTAAACTTAATCAAATTTTTTTCTATGATTTATCATTACACCACCATGTGTTGTATAAGTCTTATAAGAGATAAGATATTTTTGAAGATTTTATTTGACCTAAGTACGTAATGTCAGATTCGCCATCACGTATAACTGACTAGGGATGCGTGGTGGCAATATTATATTATGGAACAATTTATCGATAATCGATTCTTATAGCTTTGGTTGAAATATTTACCGAAGGTTCACTATTATGATTATGAATTTGCTTCTGCCCACGTCTTCACTCGTACGGTAGAGTGACTGAATCAACATAATTAGAAATGATTTAAAATATTTTTGACTCTCTTTAAACGATTTTAAACACACTAAAGAAATAGAATATAGTTACGTTATTTTCCACTACACAGTGTGATGAGAAAAATACATTGTCATTGATAACGGCACATAAATAGACATACATCGATATTTTCAAAATGTCGATACGTCGTCGTTTAGTACATATCTCTTAATCTGTGGTTTAGATCCTGTCAAGTTCCGGACTCACTACGTTTGTTATTTTATTTTTGTTTAATTTAGTGTTAAACTCGAATAGATGTTATGCTTTTATTTTTTTTATTTCATATACTGTAATAATAATGAAAATAATATTTTCGGCAATCTGACGCACAACGCCATCTAGTTTCAAACAAAACATTAACAATATGTTAGTACTTAACCTCGAAACATTCAAAATCCAATATCTTTTTTCCTAGACTTCTTTCGCAAGTAATTTTGATATGAGAATGGTCAAGAATAAATTCTCAAGTGTTAAGGATTTTTTGATATTTAAACGCTAACATTTCAGTTTAAATAAAATTATGTATGGGGACCTGCCATTGTCCTTTCAATCGGTATTCTGCTAGTCTTAGTAATACGAGAATACCTTTTATCTGATCTGTGAGATTGAGATTATATCGAAATTAAATTTTATTTACGAGAGCGAATGACCTTCTGCTCCGAAATGTAAAATTTTATTATAATTTGAAGTAAGTTGAAATATATGAATGAAAAATAGAATGAACGGACGAACAAACGGAATGGACTAATAATGAATCCTTAATATATTCACCTCAACATCACAACAGTAGTTTTCAATGTGAATACGCCTCAGCACGCCCGTAGCCCCCCGATACGCTCCATTCACGAAGCGAACGTACCTCCCCGTAGATGGTATCACTGTTTCTAGATGGTTCTACAACAAAGCGAAAAACTTCTTAATTAGAGATATAAATATATAATTGTTGTTTTGTTATGTTAGAGGGAGATATGAGCAGACAAGTCACCTGTTGGTAAGTGACTACCGCCGGTAATGAGTACTTTCAAGAGTCAAAAGGCGTTGCCGCCTTTTAAGCGACCTCACTGTGAACCTTAAAATACACAGAATACTATTTACTTTGACAAAAATCGAATATATACGGTGTAAGGGACATCGTAACGAATACTGAAATAGTGTATTCAGACCATCATTACGAGTTAAAATCATCAGCTGTCAAAGGTAAAGGTCATTCCCGTAGGTATCGCACAAAAGTAATAACTAAATGTGTATTCCGTGCAAACAGTCTACGCACACTAACAGTTAGCGGCCGGAAGGAAATCCCCGCGCGCTTCGACTATTTGATTAATTACATTGCAGTTTTTGACCGTATTTATTAACTTGTTTTCGGTTAAATGTTCTGTTTACTCATTGTGATATCATTATTAAGCTAAAAAATGGAAAATTCTAAAACAAAAAATGAAATCTCCGGCAGAAAACCAATGATTTTCGACTCAGAATTATGGTCTGAATACACTTTTTCAGTATTCGTTACGATGCCCCTTACACCGTGTATATATACAATATTTTTTCATACAATGTTTATGTATAAAAAATCTCTCCAGTATCAAGTTTATAGAGTTATATACGCAATACATATTAAACTTCAAATATATCTGTCTGTGCCTTATTTATATGTATAAAAATATGTTATATAAACTTTGTACTTACTATAATTAGCTGTATAAGTACAAATGTATAAAAAATATTATAATAATTATGTTTTGTATACTGTGTTATTATTACTAACTATAGTCAGCCTGTTGCGTCTTGACCTCTAATGAAACAAAATGTGTTTAATATTATTTATAAATTGGCGTATATACAATGGCGGACTTAATGTCATAGGGATTCTACCTCATAGAGATATAAGCATAGAGAGAACACGGGGTACATCTGCCTGTAAGTGGAAGCGGCAACGAGAGAGATGGATGCCCGATAGTTCCCTCTGTCTCTGTTTAGCTGAGCTGTTAATGGCTATCCTCAAGTGGGCATGGTTTTGATATTGGAACAGGCGGGAGATTAGAAATTTACACAGCCAACCACAGAGCTCGACTAGAAAAAATAGAGAGAACTGAGTTTGAGTTTTTGAGTTTTTTTTTAAGACAACTCCCGCACTAGGAATATATCCTGTGTCGCGGTTGACTTTACAAACAAACATGAAACGGACACAAAGAACATCCAGACTCAGAACAACAATTTGTGGGTCACACAAGGTGTCGTCCCGTCGTTTGAACCCACAACACTTAGCGTAGTAGGAAGCGGCGTGACGACCGCTTAAACCACTACGCCATCCGTGCAGTCAACTACCTATATTGCAAGATTGGGGCTCTTGTTAACTCAATGGTCTACCTAGTCTAACTAACGGTGTGGAAATCAGTGATAAGGTGCACTACACTTGAGTTAGGAATTCTAGATTCAAACAAAAAAGTAATAAGAAGGCAAGAGAAGAAACGGGGGGAAACCATGTATACATGCAAACAAAATATACAGACAGAGCCTTCGATACCCCACATACAGATACATAGCATAGAGGCACTATTTATTTATTTATTTATTTATTTATATAATTTAAGGATCTCCAACAAAGGATATACACAGTTGTTATGACTTACTATAAATACTTCACAGTAATCTTTCGGTGTACTCCCTCAATTATAGGAGACCACAGCATGCAAACATTAGTGACAAGTTATAATAAACCTATATATTACATACAGATCGCACATAAATCTAAATCATGAACACAATTTTGATGTAACTATAGATAGCTAATTAACATGTAGGCAGACAACAAATAAACATATAACTATAACTAACATATCACTGCAAAATATTTTTTAAGGAACCTTTATATTTTAAAAATGAGATACTGAGATCTAGGTTTTTAGTTTTAGACAACACATTATATTGCCTGCAGAGCCTAGGCACAGCGGCGTAGTGACCCAGGTTTGATTTTGCTGAGCGGACAGAAAATAGACTGTAGGCTCCTATCCTTGGTAGACGTGATGGTACATTTATAGATAGGCTACTCATAAGCTCGTTGCAGTCTGTGTAACCATTGTACAACTTATAAAGAAAAATAGCATCAAGGTACTGCCTATTGATTAATTATATTTAATTTACAGAACGAATAAGAAGAATAGATATTTGTTTGTACTCATGTATGTATTTCGGGGAAGCTCATAATCAGGGAGCAACCCGACCTGGTACAACAGTGGCACTTCGTTTCTTGATAAAGGGTTCCACCGATGTCAGTTCCGTAACACACGCGTGACTAGACTAGAAGTAATATTTTATTGTCTATACAAATAAATAAAACTGAAATGTCTGTTTGTAATGTCAAAATAGTTTCTTTTTCATGCTCACACGGTTATTTGCACGATACCTAGGCCTAAAAACCAATTTTGTTTTTGCCTGTCTGTCTGTTTGTTCCGGGTAATCTTCTAAACGGCTGGACTGATTTCGATAATATTTTACTACCAGGTAGCTGGCTACATAAGGAATAACTTAGGCTAATTTTCGTCTCAGAAAACCCCTTAAAATTTTGGCCGGTCCGGGCATCGAACCCACTAAGGCAACGCTTTTCAAATTCGCGGGTACCAGCAAGTTAATAATAATATTATTGTTTATAAGATAATGTCAGTCTATTTTCTGATACTTTTACATCAATAAATACACTTGAAATCGAAACCCTAATGCCAATCTGAGTGGATTGTTTATAATAGTGCCAATAACTTCCAATAGGCAGTAACATTAATGGATTTGTCTCTTTAAATACGTCTTACACTTGAAAAACTTATTTAACTTAACTTTAAACCAACTAAAATTGTATTTAATTATCGAAATCAGATGTACCTTAAAATGGCCCACACTCACCACCAAAGTATTTCATCAATCAATTGATATTATATAAAATTGATAATGATAAAAGCGGCTGTAGCCTAATGGTTAAGGCATTGGACCTGCGATCAATAGGTCGTGGGTTCGAATCCTGACCGACGTGAACCCACTCCTAACACAAGCAATTTAGCGTAGCTGGAGGGGTTAACGGGAATACTAGTTATTTCGTTTTCTAGTAAGCCAAAAAAGAAAATGGTTAAATTTTATTGTACTAAAAGTTATGATAGATTTTAAATAATGATAATAATTTATTTACCATGAAATGTAAAAAAAAACTTTTATGTAATTACTAGCCTTATCTTGTTGCTTACTACTCTTCCTCCAAAGCGCCATGGCGTGATATTATTATATAAAAACGGTCCATTGTATACGCAAAAAAAACCTATCAAATCTTCTGAATTATGCCAATTTCAGCGTGACCGGCTGAATTTAAGTTTAACAGCCTTAGCAACACTGCCATTTATTGTCAATCATAGTCTAACATTTATAACAAAAAAGCTTCGATCTGTATTGCCAGGTTAAATAATTAATAATGTACTTTTTTTTTGTGTATAGCAACATTGTTTATCCGCCAATTAATTGTATTAGATAATTAGCGTCACGTTTTTATTTTTTATTTAATTAAAATGTTTATTATTTTAATTAACTCCTTTTGAAACATGATTTTAATCGAGCATTTATTTCGAATTTTTCGTAAATAAATGGTTTCTTATATAGAGCTTTTTTGTTTTCTTTTCTATTAATGAGTCGCGTATTTGGAGAAAAAGTAAAGTAGGTTATTTTTTACTACAAAACGCACAGACGGGTTTTTATAGATGAACGAGCCCTCGCTAGATTATTTATTATTTCTTTGAAAATGACGGACTTTCAAACAACCGTTGATCCCTTATTTTACCCCCTTAGGGGTTAAATTTCCAAAAAACATTTATTAGTGGGTGCTTACAACATAGAAAACATCAGTTCCCAAAATTTCAAGTTTGTAGTCCCAGCGGTTTAGCCTCTGCGTTGATAAATCAATCACTCGGGGCTATTAATTTCCTAGGTATAACTTACTCCCAGAGAAACAAATGATCGTACACATCACACAATTATTGCCCTGGGTGGGATTCGAACCCACGACCTCTGATTCACCAGTCAGGATCGCCAACCACTTGACTCTATAGTAACACGTCCGTCAAATGCGTTTTACATATTTACAAGATCAAATAATAGTAAATAAATAATAAATATAATATATTCTACCACATACACACAACGCCATCTAGTCCCAAACTAAGCAGAGCTTGTACTATGGGTACTAGACAACTGATATAAATACATATATACTTTTTTTTGTAAATACATACATATTATACATAGAAACACCCAGACCAAATCAAACATCAAATGTTCATGCACACAAATATTTGACCTGAGCGGGAATCGAACCCGCGACCTGTGGAATAGCAGTCCGTTACACAAACCACTACACCATCCAGTCGTCATAAATAAAATAAAACTACAATTTAATAAACTAAAACGTTTATTGTATTATAAAACTATTATTTTACAATTATTCTATTACAATACATATTTAGGGTCACGATGCCAATTTGCTGATGTCCTCGTACTGAACGGCTTTGACGAGACGACCTGTGAGGGGGCCCTCCGCTATCTGGAAATAAAATATTGAGATTTAATAAAGTTGTGGAGCGTTTGTCTTCCAACTCAAGACATGCCAATTCTCGTAATGAAAATTCCTTAAAAATTCCTTAAAAATTCAGTTCCGAGCCCTCGATCTCACAAATGTCATAAAAGTTATTCTCATAGCAAAGTAGTAACCATTAAACGTTTTTTTTTAAAGACAACCTGTCTTAGGAATGTATATCCTGTGTCGCGGGAGACTTTTACAAAAATACATGAAACGGATACAAAGAACACCCAGACTCAGAACAACAATTTGTGGATCGCACATAATGGTTTCCCATGTGGGTATCGAACCCATTACACTCAGCGTAGTAGGAAGCGGCGTGGCGCCCAAATCACTAAGCCATCCATCCGTGCATTCAACGTTGACTGTAATGTGATATATTCTGTGAGATCGAGAGTATATCGAAATTAAATTTTGAACGAATTTTTATTTACGAGAATGAATGAATCTGCTCCGAAATGTCAGTTTGACATTACAATTGAGGTTAAAATATATGACTGAAAAATAGAAAGAATGATATATCCTTAATATTCACCTCAACATCACAACAGTAGTTTTCAATGTTAATACGCCTCAGCACGCCCGTAGCCCCCCGATACGCTCCATTCACGAAGCGAACGTACCTCCCCGTAGATGGTATCACTGTTTCTAGATGGTTCTACAACAAAGGGAAAAACTTTTTAATTAGAGATATAAATATATAATTGTTGTTTTGTTATGTTAGAGGGAGATATGAGCAGACAAGTCACCTGTTGGTAAGTGACTACCGCCGGTAATGAGTACTTTCAAGAGTCAAAAGGCGTTGCCGCCTTTTAAAGCTATGTCTAAGGGGATCGATCGTAAGAGCCAACTAAGGGCGCAAAACTACGCAGGACACCAGCACTGCAAAAAGAAGGAAAACTTGACACAAACCCTATACCAACCCGTCTGCCCAGCATGGCTTATGATTTTGGCGCCCCCTGCAACTGTGCCCCGGTTTGCTCCCCTCCCCCTCCTATATCCGGGGCTGTCAAATACATTTGGAAAAAGGATAGGAAGATAGGCCTAATACGATCTACAAAAGAATATTATTTTATAAATATTTATATGGCGCCCATTGTGGATGTTCGGCACTTACGAATATGGCTAGTAAGTCCGATTCGAGAACGGCAACCTCGGCAACAGTGTGGATACTTGGGCAGACGTGTTGTTGAACAGGATTAGTCAGTTGGAGTATCAGGGATTTCCTTCCTAGGGTACACCTAGTTTCTGAGACTGCGTTCGGGTTTTGGCCGGTTCGAATCCGACATAACCACCGGTGGGAGGTGTCCCAGGGGATTTCCACACAGAAAAGAAAAGAAAAAAGATAAAAGAAGGATTCAGTGTACTGGAAAAAAAGGTGACGCAACGTACGCTTGCGAGACTAAGATGATGATGATGTAATCCGACCGATTTCGGCCATGGCTTCTACTTCGACCCCTTATGGGACCTGGCGCTGATGCGCCCGGAGATGGCTTATATAGCCGATTTTCGCAGCAAACTCCCTTGCACAGAGTGGGCAGGTGAGCTTGCCACTCTCATAATTATAGTGAATGGCGGCGAGTGGACGGGCTTTGAGACTAAGAATCTATCTGATGAACTTACCTGGTCCAATTTCAACTTGACATTATCATCCAATAGCTTGACATGAGCACAATATGTGTCAACCACTTTCTCGACCACACCCTTGCGCTTATAAAACTTGTCACCCAAAGATCTGGTTGTTATCTTCACAAGTATGTCTTCACATAACCAATAGTCTTTTCTGAAATAAAATTATCATAATGTACTTTTAAGCAAACTAATTATTTTTGAAAAAATGACAATTTTAATTATAGTCAATATTTTACGACTAGAAGATCTCTAGTTATTATAAATAAACATCAATCCTTCCTTCACACATCTCACACACGGCCGTCTTATTCCAAACTAGGCAGAGCCTGTACTTTGGTAACCAGACTGCTGATAAACATACTTATATATTTCTAAATGCATACATAATCATCAACAGCCTTTAATAGTCAAGTTTTCCTTCTGTTTGCACTACTGTTGTCCTGGTAGTCTGCTCCCTTAGTTGGCTTTTAGGACACCTACGGGTGGTGGTGACAGTCCGTATTCTTAATCAGTCATTACACGGATCGTACTCATCACATAACTATATGTCCTGGGTGGGAATTGAACCCATGACACCCGGCTTAGTAATCATTCTCACTAACCACTAGATCAACAGGCATGTCACAGAATTGAAATATTATTACAAAGAAATTATGAAATTAATACGTTACCTATTTGCTCTCTCTTTCGCTCGTTCTTCCATTTTCATAATTTCGTCTAAAGCTGACTGCTTACTTCTAGCCTCTTCTGTTTTCTGCTTTTTGCTAGATTCTTCTTTACTATCCCTTGTTTTACTTTTAGATTCTTCTTTACTCTTTATTTGGAGAGCAGAAACTGGTAATGCGTCGGCTTTTTTATCTGAAAAAAAAATCATTGGTATCATGCCATATGTCTGTAAATGATTGTAAGTTCATTTTTCCACCATGGGTCAGGGTTACTGGGAAAAATGAACTCGAGATTGTAAGTTTAACAATGTATATTCACCGGTATGGTATTTACATAAAAAAAACTGATGTGACAGATAAGCACATAAGCTCCACAAGTGACAAATTAAATATACGAGAAAAATTAAAAAATAGTGTAATATCAATAATCTTTTATCTCACCTTCAGCTTTCCTCTTCAAGCTGAGCGTGACTCTCTCTTGACTACTCTCCCGCTTAAACTCAGAGTATGATGGCTCTTCAACGGAGCTCTCCTTCTTACCTCGCTGTACTTGTTTCTGAATGAAGTCCAGCATTCTTTCCTGAGGATGAAGACACATGTTATTATGGATATTTATTTACTAACTAACAGATGACAGTGAGGAAATAATAGTCAAGTTACATAAAAAGTAAAATTATAAATAAAAAATCTAAAAAAAAAGCAAGGTGGAATAATAAAACTGGATTCAATTGTAAAAAAAAGTAAATTACAATTTTTTTTTTATAATTTTATGTTTATGAACAACTAATCATATTAAGAGTGCATCCATATAATTTAAGCTACATGACTTAAATAGTTTGTTTCGACCCCCACACCCCAGTAATGTCACATCATTACTGGGGTGTGGGGGTACATAGATGTAACTAGAAATGATTAAATAGAAACAATTTCGCAAGTTCCTCAGATTTCAGTTTTGAAATGTCACATCATGAAACTTAGGACCTGTCTCAAAATGCCACAATTTGTTACCCTCCCACCCTAACGTATGACGAAGTTTTGGAAGGCTCCTCATAAATACCAGAAACTTTATAACACAGATACCTGATCATCTTTATCCATCTTCTCCTTCTTTGCCTTGGCTTCTTGAGCTGCGATCGCAGCTGGATCCCTATCTATATATGCAACAAACCACCCCTTCTCTGTCTCGTCAACAACACACTTTCCATCGCGGCCAAGCCACTTCACAAACTCCGTGAGGGTCTCCCATTGCGTGGCATTCATGTGTAGATGGTCCCTAAAAATTATAGTGATTAGTTAGTCAGTTTGGTGTTTACGGTCGCCTGACAAAAGTATGTCTGTTTTACATATCATAACAGATATGCATACAAGAAATAGGGCTCCCTCCTTATGTCAAGAAAACTGCTAAAAGTGATTCCAGTTAGTACAGCACCTAACACCTGTGCAGAGAGACGTTTCACCCCATTAATTAAGAACAATGATTAATTAAGATTTCCAAGATGTTCTAAGACCAGTAGGCTCACCCCCCTCCTCCTATTGGGAGTGGGACCAAGGGCAAAATATAAGTATTTCATATACCTATCACATACAGGCATATGTGTATGTAAGAACAGGAACTTATTTTAGAGTTAGATAATAGAAAACACCTCTCAAAAGGCTATCTGACCACAAACTATACAGAACCTGTACTATCGTAACGAGACTGCATATACTACTCATTAAAGACAACGCCTGCATTAGGAATATCTTCCTGTCGCTTGGTACTTTACAAACATAAATGAAACGGACACAAAGAACACCCAGACTCAGAACAACAATTTGTAGATCACACAAAGTGTCGTCCCATTTGGGGTTTGAACCGACAACACTCGGCGTAGTAGTAAGCGGCGTCGAGACCACTTAAACCACTACACCATCTGTGCAGTCAAATTTACAGTGATTTACATTGATAGTATCCAGTAGTATAGAAACATCAAGCAGAGAATGCAAAACGTTATTCTAAAAACATCTGAAATACACGGTGGTTCATGAAGTACTACAAATTAACACTGTAAAAGAGGAAGTAACATTATTAGCCAAACGCTACAAACAAAGACTGGAAAGGTTCCCAAATCGTCTGGCCATTAGCCTTGCTAAACCAGTACAAACGAAGGGCCTGGAAAGCCCAGCTATTACGGACCTAGCATCTAGATAATTAGGGCTGAAGCATTGATAATTGAAAGACGAGAAGGCTTCCAATGGGGATCCTCCTTAACCAGACAGACTCTAATTCAGCTTATCTACTTATAGTCCGAGGACTGATTGGTAGATACTAAAAATAAACATTGGTGGTATACTAAATGAGGCTTAATGGAGCCACGTCACTAAAATTTCAACCGAAATGAGTTGAAACTGTTGAAATTATACTCTAATTTTGCTTTAAATGCAATCCTATAGTAAGTTCTCACCTATTAGATATATAATCTTGATAAACTTTGTTAGCGTTAACACGTTTAGTTCCAAACTGACGACGAAGGAGTTCCAAATATCCGTCAGCAAACTCTTTGGAGAAATCGTCTATGTATTTATTGGCATTGTCGGCAAAAAGGAGTAGTTGTCTCTGATGGGACTCCGACATGGTATGGCATTTAAAACCGTTCTCATCTCGACACTGTTTTTGACACATTTGGCAGTACCATCGCAGTTTTTGCAAGCCTTTAGCTTTTATTTTATTCGCTATGTATTTCGGAGTGCCTTTCTCTGCTTTTCCCCCCATGGTTGTTTGTTAATCTCACACGTACGATGGAAGAATTTAATTGTACTCTAGATACGTAGATGAAATAAAGGTACATAAAGTACACTCTTAGGAAAGATAAAGTATTAATTTTATTGTTACGCACGCTTATACGTGTAAACAGCGTTATTGTGTATAAAAAAAAATCCGACTGAAAAATGACAGAATTGTTTGACACTTGGAAGTGACAGCTGTGGTCAAATGTTACCATTTATAAAGTAATTTTGCTCTTTTTCACTTAAAACCTACTGATTTAGAATAGTTTTAGATTATATTTAATTAAAAGCAGAAACATTATTAAAACCCAACGAAACGCGAGACATCGCATCAAATCTTTTCATTAGCATATTTCTAACAAGGGTCGTGTCATAAAGCAACAAAAATTAACAATTTATTGGTGTTATTATGAATAGAAAAAAAACGTTTCTAGTGAAATATTCTAGCTCACTAAGAAATCAAAATACAACCGAATTAACAATTAAAAAAACCAAAAGCGTGGCAATTTTATTTGGCCTTTATTAACGTAATATACGTACGCACACATACATGGTAATGAGATGACTGGAGAAGACTGTTTCTTTCTAAAATACTAAATGAGTTGGTAGACAACCTTCAAAACTCTTTTCATCAAGGCGGGTGATATGGCAATCGAAACAGATAAAAATATTAACCATAGTTTATTTCTTAACCTTACAGTCATAGATAAAACACTATAAATTCAAGACTTACTGTCTATCAACATGATATGATTGTTTTAAAATACAGTATTTTTTGATCTAATGCTGTCCTCCCCTAAAAGGCATCAGGGACGGTTGAAAGAAAATTGCGTATTGAAATAATTCATGAAATGTAATCTTCAATTGCCAAATAGAATTATTTTTATATACCCATGTTTTAACACAATAAGAAACCGGTAATTATAACTGTTTTCAAATATTTTGACATGTTAAGTCGCCATTTTAATGAGTCATATAAATTTAGGTACGTTTAATAATCATATTCACGTTTTCCCTTCCAGCTTGATATCAAATTTTATTTTATTCGTTGTGACTTCTGTACAAATAAATAGAAATTTTTTAAATGAAAAATTTTAAAATTAAAAAATTAGTTGATATCACTGCATGAAATATATTGAAAATGAATGTTTTATATTCTAAAGAGAAGAGAGGGAATGTGAAAAAAGTAAGATATTTTTTTATTATCGTTAAATACTGAATAATATAATTTGCTTACAACTCGATCTCTGGCTGAAGTGTTTCTGCTTTCACTCCCATCGTCAAATCGTCTTAAAAGCTTTACCCATTCTCGTGGCCGAAATTAGTCTAGTCAATCAAACTTAGCAATAGATTTCATTCAGAGTAGTATACATCTACAATTTTTATACCCATGTCAATCAGGTTTAGTATTTAAAAAAAAAGACGTATCATAATTATTATTTGTAGTTGAAGATCTGTACGATTAAGAAGAATGTATTATTTTATTAAATGTGTGTCTTATTCATAGTGAAAGAATCAAATGACAACATGTACAGCCTTTTAAGTAATTTTCACCATTGAAAAATCTACAAAATAAACATATATTTTTTTATAAGATCCCCTCCCGCTAAGCTAAATTGTGTTAGGAGTGGGTTCACGTCGGTAGTGTACTGGTCAGGATTCGAACCACGCGGTAGTGTACTGGTCAGGACTAAACCACTAGGCTACCGCCGCTGAAATGTAATTATTAGGTACCCATTATTGATCCTAAGAAAATAAAGATGTTGCTGGACGCCTGGCAGATGTGAAGATGTTTAGCGGTGTTCCCAGTGTGACTTACTAAGACACACTTTCACAAACTGTGAATTCAACAATACCGAGTAATTATTAAAAACGTGTAAAGAAACCTACTTACTTCCATTCGTCAATTAGACCCTTGGATCCATTTAACAACTAAACTATTAGTTTTTCCCCACAATCCAGTTGCCTCGAAAAACCCAAGAATCCTTCTCCTCATTTACGCAATCTTCATCAAACCAAGACAGTCTCGCATCAGGGGATGGTGACTGCGCTCGATGCTGTAGACTTTGTGGTGGTGACACCATGCTGAAGTACTTCAGGGACTCTTACGTTTGGGAAGGAGTCGAAGAAAGATATGATCAATTATTGTACGACTGTTTTGGAGTCAAGGTAAATGATTTACATCAATTACATTAATATAACTAGCTGACCGAGCAACGTTGTTCTGCTATATTCATTCATACAAAAATACCTACCAAAATCATCATTGGAAAATGGGAGGCGGGGGTAGGAAGGTCAAAAGGTAGGTATGAACTTACTAAATATACAAACAGAATCTTCAAAATCGGTTGAGCCGTTTCGGAGGAGTGCGATCACAAACGCCGTGACACGAGATGTTTATATTAATAATAACACTTGTTTATGAAACATGAAAAAAAATAAAGCTGTCAAATTTCTTTTAAATTTTTCGGAACGGAGCATATTATAAGAGGAAAGAAAATATCGGTTAACGTTCATGTCTTTATTTAGTCACAATTTCAGAAGAAGGTTGTCATAAATTACATTTTTTTAGTACGACATGGGTGTCGTTTATAAGCTCTGCTGAAAATACCTTCGGATCTCCTGCTTCTCGGGGACTCAGGAGCCAGCTCATTCCACTAAAAACCACCCCGACGGCCGGCCTCAGGTGTCCTACTCTGGGAGGACCCGGAGCATGTTATTTCCGGTCGGATACAAAGAACACCTAGACTCAGAACACCAATTTGTTGTTCGCACAAAATGTAGTCCTAAGTGAGGATCGAACCCATAACACTAGGCACAGTAGGAAGCGGCGAGGTGACTAGCGGTTTAAAGCACTACGCCATTTGTATTTCGTGTTATGTTATTTAAAATTATTTCGTGTGTCTAGGTCACATCTTCAGATTGTATGATATGCGATTGGTGCGTCCGGGCATTAAGGGGCACGGAAAAGTTCCGGGCATTGGTCCACGCAGCATTCGACCCAACAGCCAGTGCCAGTGACATGGCAATAGACACTGATGGTATCCGTATTTATTTGCTAGATGTTTTATCTGGAATGTCTTTCCTCACGATTTCGAATACAGGAACGGAAGTATGTAACGCGTGAAGGGACGTCTGAATTGGCGCGCTATTTGATTTGACAAATGAGCGCACAAGATTCCAGATGTCAATTGTTACATCCATACTAATATTAAAAATGCGAAAGTGTGTCTTTCTGTCTGTTACTCTTCACGCGTCTCCCGCTGAACCGATTTAGATAAAATTTGGGAAAGAGATATAACCCTTTAAGGAGGCGAAAACGGGGGTGGAAGTTTGTATGGGAATCAATAACCGCTGGACCGATTCAGATTAAATTTGGTTTGGATATTGAGGAAGGACTATACGGACTATACAATATATTAGCGCTATAATCGACATACACGAGGGCGGAGCAGCGGACAAAAGCTAGTATTTTATAGTTAAACTCTTAAGCTACATAGTTTTGCTGGCTTGTTTTTTCTCATAAATAGTCAGTACTTTGTAAAATAACAGATGGAATCAGGACAATTATTTGTGGGTTACTCTTTTTGAAAAGTTTCCATGCTATTTTTTTTAAGTTGTAAAAGATCCTTTTGACTTCAATGTATTGCAAAGACATTTGCCTAAAATAAAGATTAAAACAAATTACGATTAAAACAAACAAAAAGTTGTTTATGACCACGTGTATCGTTAATAGGTCATAAATATGGCTAGAATTTAGTAATAACAATTAAATCAGTATATTCAGCGTTGGCCTGAGACATATTTAATTTTTTTGCACTGCCTTGTGTAAATTTGATCAATGTTTTTATTGAAGATACCTACTTTTAGAAGGTATTTTTCGCCTTTGTCTTTATTACTGTTATGGAGGGTAGAAGCAAGGAGAACCATCTCTGTGTATGTAGTGTCCGTAAAAACGCGTCCAAAAAAAAAATTTAAAGAAAGCGCCATAAGTAATTAGAATAAGATATACTAATCAAATCACGTTAATAGTGGCATTTTACTAACTACTCTAGTCATTTTGTTTTTAAATATTTGAACTCGGCAGACTATGCTACTAGCTATGTTCACATCATAGTTTTTCGTACGCTAGCGACCTCTATTTTCAGTATGCAGCTGGTAATTTTGCCGCCATGGTGGATGGTTTTCCTAGCCTTTACTCTCCATAGTTACTGTGTAATATTTTTTCTTATAATTTGCAGCGTCGTCAACGTTAATAACAATCAGAACCAACAGCTGTCAAACAACAAACATCGGCTCGGAACAACGTTCAAGGCTAGAGAAACAAGAACAGCAGATGATTAGTAAAAAAGTTGACACGCAAAGAAAACGTACTCTGAAAAAAATGGTTGGCCGTCAAGACATCATAAACAAGAGGACTATCGTCAATTGCGAAATTTGCAATCAAAAGTAAATTGAAGTCGTCTATGTTTTTGATGTGTGACATCTTTCTTCTCGCTTCTTTCTTCCTTCCTTTAAAAGAAAAGGTCGGAAATGTGTAACAAAAGCTTGAGGAAGCGGCCGCTTTTTGATTTGACCAATAAGCATGCGTGATGCTAGAGTTGTCCGACCATCTGAATGGTAGATGAAATGTCACACATTGTAAAGCTCTATCGTTCTTTTTTCTGTGTGTGTGAGCAACGAAAATAGTATTGCCGAAGTTTTCCTATAGTTTTTACATAGTAAAATTCCAATATCTTTCGACTAACAATTCTTTCGTTGCCTTCCACCGAGTGAGTGAGGTTACTGGGGCCCATCTCTCTCCCTGATTCTGGGAGGGCTCAAAGGACGGCAACTAACTTGTGACTCTTTCTCTCCCTCTTGTGAGTTGCAGGTATCTAAAAGTTCCTACCGCCGTAGTCACTCATATCAGGTGAACCGTCTGCTCGTTAGGACTTAAATTTTACTCTTTCATGGCTTTGATGTTCCTAGGTACCCCATGATGGTTCCCAATGGCGTGTGTAAAGCGTTCACCTGCTCTCGTTGTAATAAAAACAGAGATTCCAAGAATGCGGTGTGCAAGAAGTGTAATATTGTAATGCCAAAAAATATGTTTAAAGATCACATGGAGATGCACGTAAAGGCTGATGTTAGGGCAACTTCCAGGTAATAAAAGAATCATCATCATCAACAACTTTTAATAGTCCACTGCTGTACATAGGCTCCTTCTTAGAAGACTAGGAGACGGGACAATCCCAGCACTGCGCAGCCAACTGGGATTTCGCCCAGCACAAGCTGGGAGACTGTCCCTCGTGGGAGTCTGAACGCGAAGTTCTGGTCAACAAAATCGGACGAGACCTGTCCCAGCCGGCAATCATTACTGCCATGCTGGCAAGTGAGAAGGTCTTTCTGTGAAGCTGTAATGCTAAAGAAAGAGACTGCTAAACGGAATCGGGAGAGGGCTGTTCGCGGGTCGCCAGAGAGTGGAGACCTCGGATGGAAATTAAGACAGGAAGGAGCCGGAGATCCAAACACAGGAGAAAAAAAAGAAAACTCTCTTTAAAAAAAGATAGGAACCTCTTTTTCTGTCTTTTTTTTACACGGTCACGAGTCACAGTCACGTTTACCAGAATGGGAATAAACAACTGTAGCCATCGTGTTAATTCTTTTAACGGTCCAGTCTTGCCAATGACTTTTCTATTTAGTTTTCGACACTGAGTTCCGTGTCAACATTTGGGTCAGTTAGTTATAACTATACTTACACGATACATAGCCGTAGTGTCTAAACGCTAGCTTCGCATTCTTTGATATGCGTTAATATTTGTCCAGAATGAGCTATATTCGTGTATTTCGATGCGTGACTGTGTGCTATGCCTGTAATAGAGATAACCCTACTGATATGTTAAATCCCTGATCTACGGGTAAATAATTTAAAGGCAATGGACTGTAAATTTGTACATATATTAATAAAAACAATTAAAGTGTGGTGCGCGTGCGATGCTTGCGGACTTCAGAGGTAATGCCCTCGGGAACAGCTGACGGTTGGCACCTCCGCGCCGCGCCCCGCGGCCCCCCCGTAGTTGCCTTGCACAGCTGCCTTCTCCGAAGACAGCCGAGAGTAGCCGAAACTCGCGGACGGCGCACGAACATCCTCCCGGGCGTTGAAGCATTCAAACTAAACAGGCAGAGGACAAATATTATTGAAGGCTCGTAATAATATGCCTTTCTTGGTCTTGAGTTGAACCACGCGAGAAGCTCCGTCGCTGCCAGGAAACACCTTGATGACCCGTCCCAAAGGCCACACTAACGGTGGTTGTCCTCTCTCCTTTATTAACACCAGGGTTCCCACGGTCAGTTGCCCTGAAGAAGTTGTCCACTTTGTTTTTTGCTGAAGCAAGGATACATATTCCATTTGAAACCGTTTCCAAAAATGTTGTTTGATATGTTCCAATTTTTGGAATCGCTCCAGCCGCCCAATGTTGATATCAGTTACCTGTGGATGGGGCACAGATGTAAGTGATCGTCCAATAAGGAAATGAGAAGGAGTAAGGGCACTAAAATCTAAGGGATCGGAGGAAAGAGGTGTCAATGGACGAGAATTTAAAACTGCCTCTATTTGATTCAAACAAGTGACCAGCTCCTCGTATGTAAAGTGAGATAACTGTAAGAGCCTCTTCAAATGGTGTTTAGCCGAACGCACGGCAGCCTCGGCAATGCCGTTAAAATGCGGTGTGTTCGGCGGAACAAATTTAAATTCAATGCCGTGCTTAGCAACTTCCGAGTCTAAATCAGAGTCTTGCAGGAATTCATTCAATTCGTTGCACGTACCAACAAAATTTGTACCGTTATCGGATAAGATGCTCTCGGGTTTGCCGCGCCGAGAAATGAAGCGTTTTAATGCAGCCATATAACCTTCCTTACTCAGGTCTGTAACGAGCTCTATGTGTACAGCTTTAACTGCTAGGCAAACAAAAATGCACAAATAAGACTTGGTAAGCCTACATCCCCGACCCTTGCGATCAGCGATCAGTACTGGCCCGGCATAGTCAACACTGCATCTAAAAAAGGGGAATTCTAACTCGGTTCTCGAACTAGGTAACTGGCCCATAATCGGTTGAACAGCTTGACATCTGTATTTAAAACATTTTATACATTTGTTTACTGTAAATTTAGAAAGATTTCTGCCCCCAAGGGGCCAAAACATTTGACGTATATTGGCTAATAATAGCTGAGGACCAGCGTGCAATAGATCGCTATGGTATTTTTCGAAAAGAAGCTTTGTAACGTGATGTTTACCACAAAGTAAAATAGGGTGTTTGACATTGTAGTCATAGGGGGAGTTGTCTAGCCTGCCACCCACTCTAACGAGACCATCCGTACCTATAAAGGGACTCAATGAAACAAGTCTGTTTTTTTTTGGCAAGGGTTTTCCCAACTGCAACAACGCAATCTCGGCAGGAAACATGTCACCTTGAGTCTGCTGTAATATAAAGTTTAGGGAATCTGTGAGTTCCCGTCCCGTTAGGGCTCCTAATGATTTGTTATGCTTATTTTTTAAATTATGAATGTATCTATGTAAATATGCTACTACTCTCTGTAAACGCTCGAAGTTTGAATACTTATGAATTAATGATTTTATGAATTGTTTAATAGAATTATTATTACATGATTGATGCAATGACATTAAGTGGACGTCTGAATTACCAACATGAGATGATAGGATTTCTGGTAGGTCTTGTCTCACTGTTTGACTGGGCATCTTTGGCCAGTAACTGTCGTCCTTTAACAAAAAACTAGGACCTGACCACCACAGGGAACAACTACTGATATGGTCAGCTTTCAGCCCGCGAGAGACAAGATCTGCCGGATTGTCCTTAGACGGCACGTAGCTCCACGTGTACCCAGTAGTGCATTCCTGTATTTCACTTACTCGATTACGTACAAAAGGCTTCAATACACTGGGTGACATCAATAACCAACCCAGTACAATAGTTGAGTCACACCAGAACCGGCATTTAGAGATAGGTAAAGTAAGAGCTCTCAGTACATTAGCACACAGTCTTGCACCCAATAACGCACCAGAGAGTTCCAGTTTAGGTATCGTCGTTGGCTTAATTGGTGCCACGCGGTTTTTAGAGACTAACAATTGGACTCTGACTAGGCCGTCGTTGTTGACAGACCGCACATATACACAAGCACCGTAGGCCCTTTCAGATGCATCCGTAAAGACATGAATCTCATGATTGATTGACTTGTCACAAAGGACCCAACGAGTTATCTTTACGGTGTTCAAGCACGGAAGTGTGTTTACAAAGGAAGTCCAGAGGTCTCTTATGTTATCTTTCACTGGCTCATCCCAATCACACTTAACCATCCATAACCGCTGCATTATTAACTTGGCTTCAACAATACAAGGACCAACGAGGCCTAACGGATCGAAAACCTGGCTGATCACCGATAGAATATGGCGCTTAGTAATAATGCTCTTGGTTGTATCAACCTTAATTGAAAACGCTAAGGAATCTAGTTCACAAAGCCAATGCAAGCCCAAAGTTTTGGAAGACATATTTCTATTTTCGGATAGATCCAAACACTTTGAATCATCTGTATTACCAGAAAGTTGTGACAGGATTTCCTTGCTGTTAGACTTCCATTTTCGAAGATGGAAGTTTGCTGAAGCTAGAATAGAAACGACTTCTTTGCCTGTTTCTACCACTCCCGACACGGAATCACCTCCACCCAAATAATCATCAACATAAAAATCGTGTTCAATTGCAAACTTTGTACTTACATTGGCTGTATCATTCGCCAAACTGACTAAGCACTTCGTTGCCAGATAGGGAGCGGACGCCATACCGTAGGTAACAGTATTAAGACAGTATGTTTTAAGAGGAAGTTCTGGATCCGATCGAAATATAATTTGCTGCAGTCTACGCTGTCTCGGTGTGATGGACACGGCTCTATACATTCTTTCAATGTCACCGGAAACTACATATTTGTGCTGCCGGAAACGTAAAAGTAGGGAAAAGAGATCATCCTGAACTGTGGGGCCAACCATTTGGATATCATTAAACGAGAGACCAGACGTACTTACAGCTGATGCATCGAAGACTGCTCTGAGTTTCGTGGTTGTGCTGGATTCTTTGATGACTCCATGGTGCGGCAAAAAATACTCAGCAACATCACCTGAAGCCGGGTTGTGTCGACGGTTAATCTCTGTCATGTGTCCTAACCTCTCATATTCCTGCATGAAAGCTATGTACCTTTCTTTAAAGACAGGCTCCCGCTGGAACCGACGTTCTAGTGACATAAAACGACGTTTAGCCAAAGTATAAGACTCACCTAAAACACTCGGATCGGCCCTTAATGGCATAGCAACGACAAATCGACCGTCCTCATCTCGTTTTGTATGTAATCGAAAGCTCTCTTCGCAAGCTCGTTCTTCTGGTGACATATGGTGCTTTGTAGAAATAGAATCCAATTCCCAGAACCTACTAACATTAGCATCAAGCTCAGTTAACGACAAATTACAACAATGCGGTTGCGTTTTAGTGGACGGATGTGGTACGGAACCCGAAACTATCCATCCAAGCCTTGTATCTCTTAATGTGGGTTGATTTTTCCCAAGATTAATAAATGAGGTACCTAAGACGTCCCAGAACACTTCAGCACCCACTAAAATATCAATGTCCGACGGAACATGGAATTTAGGGTCAGCCAGCTGTACATTCGAAGGCACAGGTATGTTCTGTCTATTAACAAAGGCAGGCGGTAGCATATTCGTAATTACAGGCAACACGAAACACTTAATATTTGTTCTATAATTGCCTCTATTAGACATAATATGAAGATTGCAAAACTGTGTGCTCGATGTGGTCTGTCTATTTATTCCTGTAACCGTGGAGCTCGTGCTCTGTCTAGGCAATCCCAGCTTATCACATAGCGTCTGAGTAATAAAGTTGGCTGTACTACCATTATCGAGCAGGATCCTGGCGTTGACCTTGTTTCCCCGGCCATCCCTCACCTTGACCTGCGCTGTGGACAGCAAAATACACGAAGCGGTAGTATTGTGTGTAAAGGGATCACAGGATAAAGCTACATTTGGGGTGGGTGGGCATTTATTAAGACTGCCTCTTGATACGTCAGTACTCAATGCAACACTGCTTGGCATGGGGTCAACAACATCAGTAGGTTTATCTACATGTAAAAGCGTGTTATGATTCCCTTTACAGTATTTGCAGCCCGCTAATCTACATCGTTTTGTGGTGTGGCCAAAGCGTAAGCAATTTAAACACACTTTCAATTCTCTAGCCTTTGCACTACGCATTTCTACAGGCAAGCTACGAAATACTTCACACATATACAACAAATGATCCTCACCGCACACAGGACATGACCTAAGTCTATTTGGTGGCCTCTGTTCAACAACAAAGGCGTTAGGATGGGGATCTACGGACAAACTACCATTAATCGCTTTATTTTCTAACGTCTCCAATAAGTCAGCCTTTTTGCTAAGGAAGGAAACAAACTGTGATAAGGTTGTTTTATTGGTTACATCGGATTTCTGTATCATATTACGATGCTCCTCCCAATCTCTACTGGTGACAGAATCAAGCTTATTGGACATCATGTAAATGACAAGAGTGTCCCAGTATTCAGTAGGCTCATCCAATGTTTTGAGAGCTCGAATATTTTTATTAATCACATCTACTAAGCGACGCAAGGCACTGCATGACTCTTGGGCTATGCACTGAACATCAAACAATGCCTTGACGTGATTATCCACTAAAAGCCGACCATTGTTAAACCGATCACACAGTAAACTCCACGCCAAGTCATAGTGAGCAGCTTTAAGATCAATATTTTTAATAGCTTCTAACGCATCACCTGTCAATGATGCACGAAGATAGTGGAATTTACTTATGTCATCAATAGCACTACTGTTGTGGATTAAAGACATAAATGTATCGCGATACTCAAGCCAGTACTGATAACCACCATTAAAACTAGGCAAGTTGATTTTAGGTAAGCGTATAAAATTTGTTGTGCATAATTCACCTGACCTGTGTTTGCCTGATGAGCTCGCTACAGACCCGTCATCACCGGCTCTGGCCAGCAAACGACGCGCTTGCGCTATAAGCTCATAATAACGCTCCTCAAATTTGGTGCGCTCCTCATACGCTCCGTCTGGCTTGTCGGATTGCACTTCAATTTGGATCTGTAAGTCGTCAAAAACATCGTATAAGCTTTCAAATTTATTAAGTCGCCCCTGCAAATCAATGCGCTGTAAATCGGAGAGGACTTCACAGCTAAGTATAACATTAATGTAGTTAGCAAAATTTGTAAGCTTGGCCTTCATTCCACTTCGCTTTTTTATCAGTAATTCTAAATTTGCCATTTCGAAAATAAATTATAAATGCAAAAATCAATTAACAGTTTATAAACTCGTTAACAATAAAGAATTGTATGAATAGATGCGTGACCTTGACCGCGTGAGTAGACTCGTCGACAGCTGACTATGAAGTATGTGCTATGTAGGTAGGTAGGTGCAGCGCTTGTATTACTTTATAACGTTAAACGGCGAGCGTAAATAAGCAAGCGCACGCTAGAAAGCAATGCACAGCGAAATATAGCCTTAAGAAACAATCTGGTTATTGTATGTCTCAAACAAGAACAGTTAAAGGAAAAAAAACGGTTTGAAAAGTAATTCAAATTTAAAATAATTCAAACTTTTAACAGAAATAGTTGGATAGGAAATAAGAGGGTAAAAATATTGGAACGATACCACAAATATCCCCATCCACAGATTACGCGAAGTAATGACTTGGCAGTTATATCTTCAGATTATTCGACCTGCAGTCTGGAAGGCTTCGGAATCCTCTTGATTTTAATTTTCTCGAAGCGATGACTTGATCGATATTGATAATCGAAGCACAGTGTCTAGAAGACTTCGAGAACAAAGACGGCAACTTCTACTGCCAATACGTCCGTTAGCTAGAAGACACGACACACACCACTTTGAATTTTCAACGGTTATTAATTTATTTTTTCTGCCGGTGGCCGACGTTCTTGATCTTCTCAAATCGCGGCGTAATAGATGGCTGAAGGACCAATGTTAAATCCCTGATCTACGGGTAAATAATTTAAAGGCAATGGACTGTAAATTTGTACATATATTAACAATTAAAGTGTGGTGCGCGTGCGATGCTTGCGGACTTCAGAGGTAATGCCCTCGGGAACAGCTGACGGTTGGCACCTCCGCGCCGCGCCCCGCGGCCCCCCCGTAGTTGCCTTGCACAGCTGCCTTCTCCGAAGACAGCCGAGAGTAGCCGAAACTCGCGGACGGCGCACGAACAGATAAAACCAGGACAGAAGATTCTGCTTAATTCAAAACCCCGCATACGTAACTAAGTTAAGTCTACTTTTATTTTATACATTTGGTTCCAGACTAATGCAACACAAAAAGCTTTTACATTCGTCTCGCACAAAAATAGTCATGGTGCCCAAACCAAGGAATCAGTGCACAAAAGACTCAAAGAAATATTATACAGTCGGCAGACAAGCGGAACATGTTAAAGATATGAAAGAAGTATTTGACGATAATGAGAAATACACTTCTAGTAAGTTCTAGGTTTGATTCTTGATTATTTTACTATAACAGCTTTTAACCCCTTGCTACTACTTCGAAGACAGGAATTAAAAAAATATTCACAGGTATACAAGGATAGATTGAGCTCTAGGATTTAAATGACTACAAAGCAAGGACACATGAAAAGAAAACAGGCAAATATGAATCTTATTCCCAGAACTTTGCCAGGTTTTTCTAATTAACTGTCTTATGCGTGAGTCAAATAAAAGTCTGCAATCCTAAAAAATTATTGTAATGAAACCGAAAATTTTTTTTTTTTTTTACGTGTAATTTCATGGTGCTAAGTGGGCAGTACCAGATATAGAGATAGATAATGTAGTGATCCTACTATTCGAACTGTTTCCTAAACATCTTAATTTTGCTGTCTTAATTTCAAAGACAAATAATTGTGTGATGACCGCGGTCATTTGTTGTGTGTTTGGGTGTAGTTTATCTATAATGTGTATGTGTTTAGAAATATATATTTATCAGCAGTCTGGTTACCATAGTACAGTAGTTTGGAGTCAGACTGCCATGTGTGTGGAATGTGTGAAAAATATCATTATTATTATTATTATTAGTTATACCTTATGAATACAAGGTAAAATCAAGTTTATTGCAATCTTGTATGTACAGTAGCTATTATTTCCTCCTGTAACAGAAATCACTTTTTTAGACTATGATGAAGATTTAAATTCTAAACAACACGAAGAAAGCCAGATGTACCCAGCATCGCATCACTGCAGGGAGCATCACTACATTTTGGAAAACGAAATTAAATAATCATTATTTTTATTAATTATTAATACAAAATATTAATAATTTAGTTACACAAGCAGAAAAAGTTCTTTAAAAGTGAGCTTAAGCTAAGTGGTGTCTTAACTAGTGCGCAGGATAAGCGTTGTAAAGAAGAGAAAGTTTTAATTTCCAAACGAATATCACAATATTATATCTGTTACGTCAATTTATGTACGAGTTTATTCGTTCACATGAAGTGTTTATGTCGTCAGATGCGCTGTCTCGTCAAAATATGACCTCATAATAATATCTTTCAATTACTTTTTCTTTAAAATACTTAGAACATTTCTCATATTTACAAGAGAGCGTGCTAATAAATGTTTGAGGTCAGTTTAGAAAACAGACGAGTCACGTAGAGTAAACGTACTTTTTTACGCGATCTAAGTAGAGAGAGGCTACATCTAGCGACTTAAATCTGTGGTATACATGTGCACGGCACAGATTGAATAATTTGAATATAGCTGGTATAGAACAAAATGGCGGCAAACTCATGATCTCGTCACTTTGTTGAGAACTTTTTCTGTGAATAAAGATTGATTTTTACTATGTAATATTAGAAATATTAAGTTCAAAAATTAAATATTTATATAGGTACCATATTGTCCAGAAACTTCGTCAAAATTGCTAGTGAGTTTATTATACTAATGTGTAAATTATTTTGTATACAATTTTAGTGACTTACGAAGCTTTGTAAGGGAGAACTATTTTCATGTCTTATTAAATTTTAGTGGATAATTGGTATAGTAAAAACAATTGTTTTATTTTTATTCCACTTTGTTGTAACAAATAGTTGGGCCGATTGATTTCCTTGTAGTTACGGCTCCCCAACCACAGGACAGACTGACCTCTACGTGATACTGCAATCTCATCCTGTTTCCCATCCGAGGCTCGCGATATCCTTTACGTAATTACTCGCTCTATTCCTTTAAAAACTATTACTTTTAATAAAAAATCATAAAATAGGGGAGCTCTAGAGGGAATTTCTGAATTTATTCTAGCGTGTCAGAGTAATGTTGTAGAACGGTTTTCTTGTGGGTTCTGGGCAACAACAAACACCATTAATATCTTTTACCAGTATTTTATTATTAGGATATTATAGTGATTCGGCGCGCGGATTTTACAATGTAGTCTGACATCTGTCAGTCCGAACGAAAGCGACCGGATCCGGATACAGATAACATAAGATTATAACAGTTTTCCCCCCTTTAAAATAAAACCCCTTAACATTTAAGAAAAACCAAGTTAGTACTCATAACTATAAATCAAGTCTTACAACAGGTTTCTTGATTCTGCTACTTCTACGTACACCTGGGTGATTAGGAACGTCACGTATATGAGTATTATTACCAACCGAAGTCGATGTAGTAGTAGCAGCATCACTAGTGATTGTATGAGGAATATCCTGAGGATTAGAAACTTCATGAGAAATATCAGCCGTCAGGCCTGGGCCATGTTCCGTTTCATTATCTTTAACTTCCGAGGAAACTGTATCACTCAACCCCGGAGAATTCAAAACTTTTTCTGAATTATTGTCTAAGGCCCAGTCCTGAGATATACAATCATTATCTCGTACCAATCTAACATTTTCTCCAATCTTTCTCAACTGATCAATGTGCCTACGCCATAGTAAGCCATTATCCATTATTATTTCATAATGTAAAGAGCCTAGGACCCTATTGATTCTACCAAATTTCCACCTCTCTTGGCCAGAGTAGTTGCGAGCAATTACCCGATCACCGACATGTAGTTTTCTCGCTTTTTCTACATCATTGTTAGACTGCCGGCACATTGCTGACAAATTTGATTTAACACAAAAATTGAATATTAATTCGCTAGGAGTTTTCCCAGTGGCTGTGTGAGGCATTATTCGGTATTGAAATAAAATTTGATTTAAACATTTCTGCATTTTATTCTTGTTAGCTCTAAGACACCTTAACTTATTTTTTATTATTTGTACATAACGCTCAGCCTGGCCGTTTGTGGCTGGATTGTATGGAGCTGACCGCTTGTGTATTATGTTGTGACATTTTAAATATTCCTGAAATTTTGGATTCACAAATTGAGAACCATTATCACTTACCAACACATCTGGATAGCCAAAAGTAGAAAAAATTCGCTCCAATACCTCTAACGTGGACTCTGTATCAATCTTATTCATTATGTGTACTTCTGGCCATTTTGAGTATGCATCAACCAGTACCAAAAAATAAACCCCTAAGAACTGACCCGCAAAATCAACGTGAACTCGTTCAAAAGGTCTGGAAGGGAACTCCCAAACATGTTTGGGTGCAACAGGTGAAGGTTTATTTTGATTAAGACAGCACTCCGCACAGTTCTTGACCATGTTCCGTACATCTTGGTCTATGCCAGGCCACCAACAGTAGCTGCGTGCCAAAGCTAACATTTTGCTTGTGCCAAAATGAGCGGAATGGAGGTCATTCAAAACCACCTGTCTAAACCTTTCAGGGACAAGGACACGTGAACCTCTTAAGATGCAATCTTTATATAAACTAAACTCAGATTGATCTATTCCGAACCTCTCCAAATGGGCAATTTTCTTACCTGATTTTAACCCAACCAACAAACGTTTTAGCGTTGGGTCCTCAAGGGTCGCTTGTGCAATGTCGGGTTCAGTAACCGGCAGAACATTCATTAGGCTCATTTGAAAAATGTCAGCTTCCTCTAGAGAAATACGTTCTTCGTCAAATGCTGCCAAACGGGATAGCGCATCCGCGTTCGCATTTGCTTTGGAAGTTTTATATCTAATACTATAATTAAAACCCTGCAAGAAAATTGCATAATGTTGCATACGGGCTGCCGATAGGTGAGGTAGTGCTTTTGATGGTGAAAAAATTTGCACTAGTGGTTTATGATCAGTAAACAAAATAAACTTGCGACCATACAAAAATTGGAAGAACCGTTTTACCCCAAACACGATTGAATAGGCTTCCTTGTCTATCTGCGCCCACTTCCGTTGAGTGGTGTTTAATGTTTGCGATGCAAACATAACTGGACGCTCTGTACCATCGGGCATTATGTGTGAGAGTACCGCTCCCACCCCCGTCGGCGATGCGTCCGTGGCCACAATCAAGGGTAAATCAGGTGAGTAGTGCGCAAGTACAGTGTCTGACATCATGTGCTCTTTAATTTTGTTTAATGATTTTTCACAATTATCTGTCCATACCCACTCCTTCCCTTTACGCAACAATTCATGCAAAGGTTCTAGAATGTCACTTAAATTTGGAATGAAACGCCCATAGTAATTTACTAAACCAAGTAAAGCCTGCAATTCTGATACACTTTTAGGTGTGAGAGCATTTACAACACTTTTTATTTTCTGATCTGCCTTGTGTAGGCCTCTCTTGCTGATTTTATAACCGCAATATTCTATCTCATCCCTCATGAATTCTGATTTTTCCAAATTTATCTTTAACCCATAATCTGAAAGACGTGTCAATACTAAGTCTAACCTTCCTAAGTGTTCTTTGTCCGAAGATCCAGTTACTCTAATATCATCAATGAAACAGTGTACCCCTGGAATGCCAGCTAAAATATTTTCAATTTTTCGTTGCCATTTTGCAGGTGCACAATTTAGACCAAACATGAGACGTGTACACTTATACAACCCTTTATGTGTATTCAAGGTGAGTAAATTTTGATCTTCATCTCTTACCTTCCAATTTAAATAAGCATTTTTCAAGTCAATTTTGGAATATTTTTCACCCCCTGCGAGACCATTAAATAATTCTTCGGAAGTTGGCAACGGATGCTCATCAACAATCAGCTGCTGGTTCAAAGTAAGTTTGTAATCTCCACATAATCTTATTTTTCCATTTGCCTTCACTACTGGCACTACTGGTGTTGCATATTCTGAATAATCTACCTTAATTAATACCCCATCTTTTACTAAAGTGTCTATTTCCTGTTCAACTTTTTCTTTAATCGCAAAAGGTACAGGCCTAGCTCGGTAAAATATTGGTTTAGAGTCAGGTTTCAAATGTAAAGCCACTGGGTCACCTTTTATTTCACCTAAACCATTATCACGGAAAAGTTTGCTATGTTTGTCTAACAATGATTGCAATGAAAGCGAAACACTACCTGTCTCGATGCTGTGAATTGGTGCTAAACAGTCTCCAAAACTGGTCCATTTGAATGCTCGAATCCACTCCCGGCCAAGTAGTGGGAGCCTAGTACCTTCAACTACATATAGGTTTAGGTTTTCACATTTCTCTGTTCCCACTGATGCAGTGACCTTAATTAGACCTAAAACATGTAAATAATGGTTAGAATAAGTACACAATTTTACATTTGTCTTAATTAAGGTTAGTTCAGGAAACTTTTTAGTATAATCTTGTTTGCTAATAACAGATACAGCTGAGCCTGTGTCCAGCTCCATGTACAAATTAACTTTACCAAAGTTTACTGATACCAAAAATTTACTACTATCATTATCTTTTGCAGTGTTAGTAATTAAACAATTATTCACTACATATTTTATCTCTGATTCACTCACAAACTGAACAACATCTTGCTCCGACTCTTCAACATCCACCAAATTAACCTTTTGGCTATTTTTTAACTTAAGGCACATCTTCTTAATATGGCCAATTCTGTGGCAGTAATTACAAGATGCATTTATCCACGTACACTTGCTTGCACTGTGATCCCCTCCACAGCGATAACATGGTTTCGGAGGAGCACTGTGCACCGAGCTATTTTTAGCCTGTAAATTGTGTGTAACTGGCTGCCGTCTCTTCATGTTCATTTGAACTATGTTCACTTCTCTAGTTTTACAACTCTCCACCTGACTCACCTCCATTCCTATTGCAATGTCAAACGCTGTTTGTAAATTTAAATTTCTTGTCTCTAGTAACCTGTCCTTGATCTTCTGCGAAGTAAGGCCACAAACAAGCTGATTTCTTAAAGCGGTTTCCAAGAAAGATCCGAAATTGCAGCCAGCCGCCATTCTCCTAAGCACTGCCATATATTCTTTTATTGTCTCACCTTCTTGCTGACCCCTGTGATGGAAAGCGAAATATTCTGCAATCTCCAACGGAACTGGATCAATGTAGTTTGTCAACGATGCGATATTTTCTTCATATGTCCTGGTTTCAGGCTGTGATGGTGAGACCAAATCGCACAAGGTGTCATACAATTCTGATCCTATGTAATGCAAGAAATACGAATTTTTTTTATTCGGTTTTATTTTATAGAGGTTAAACGCTCCTTCCAGACGCTGGACCCATCTTTTGAATTTTGATTTCGAGTCGTAAAATTCTATAAAATTTGGTGGCATCACAGCGTCGGCCTCATGCGCCATTAATGGCGGCGACAACGACATGGTTTTACACAGATCCACCACCGACTAACTAAATTTGTTGCCCACACTCTTTCTCGTCGCCAGTGTTGTAGAACGGTTTTCTTGTGGGTTCTGGGCAACAACAAACACCATTAATATCTTTTACCAGTATTTTATTATTAGGATATTATAGTGATTCGGCGCGCGGATTTTACAATGTAGTCTGACATCTGTCAGTCCGAACGAAAGCGACCGGATCCGGATACAGATAACATAAGATTATAACAAGTAACATAGGAGCAACACCTTACACCCAGTTGAGTACCCCCACCAAATATGAACCCTACATATAAGATCGCCTAGGTCCCGATCGCCCATCATATTAGTTAAAAAAAAAGATGGCCAAAAATATTCGAGCATGTAAGATTAAGGGAAGTTGAGTCAATTACATACACATTACTGTGTATTTAAAAAACACGCTCGGGTTTTTCTAAATGGCGATTTTTCAAATTTGCAGTTTGTATTTTCGACAATTCCGTACCGGTACCGGTACCGTTACCGACACCTCTGTATATAAGTATGTACATATGTATATTGGCCCCGTTTACACCAGAGTTGAGTTTGGGTTGAAATATATTGATAATATAACTATATATAATATAAATATATATTGTGTATATACGTACAACACAGATGGAATCGAAAAAATAAAAATAAAAAAAAAGAATCTGTTTTCAGAAAAATAATAATTCTGTCGGCACTCCCGGAGTGACACTGTTTTTTTCTTTTCCTCTGGTCTTACTGACTTAGACGATAGTTTAAAAAATCGTAGATATTAACTAGAACGAGTTTCCTATGAATGAAGTTTTAAAATGCTCAAGTTATAGTCAAATAAGAATTCGCCATTGTTCTTTCGGGCATCATCTTCGGGTGTATTTTATAAGTTAAGGTAAGAAAAAGATGGAAATAAGACTCGATGGACTAATAACATTATGTATTTCTGAACACATCATCTACGCGAATTTGGAACATTGCTTTCGTAGTGGGGGCGGGGGCATCCGCAGCGATGCGACGAGACTCTTCGTGGAAGACAACTCCTTCCTCAGACGAATAATGTCGAGCTCAGCCTGTCTTTTACGCTGGAAAGACACTAATATTATCATGAAAGATTGTGGCTATTTGGCGGTTGATTTAAGCATATTCTATTCGTTTTTGAGTTCTATTTTGTAGCCAAAAAAACTAGTTTCAATTCGGTTATATTTTTATAAGTTTGTAACCGTCATTAATTAATCGATTCGGAGAGTGGAGAATTATTTTTTATTTGGGAAATAGTACTTTGAGGGTGTAACACAAAGGAATGAAGAATACAATTTATAATATATTCCCCGTAGGTTTACACAATAATGTCTACAGGCCCGAGATAAAAACTGGATCTGACTGAAGGCGTCGAAACTCGAAATATTTTTTTCTGCTAAGTTCTGAATCCTTCCAAAGAATCTTAAATCCTGGGAACCTTACTATTCCAGAAATTACGTTTATACCTACTCTCACTAAAACCCAGAAAGCTGATCTCACCTTCAGTTCGTTGGCAAGTCTTGCTTCTACTTGGGCTACCCTGGTTCGGAGCTCGGCGATGTCGCGCATGAGTCGCGCGGCGGCCAGCTTATTGTCAGACTGCAACACGAACAGTAATAATATTGTACAATTTACCAACTACATTTTAGAGGACTTAGCCACCGGTGTTGTCTAATAACCTGGTCCTTCGAACCGTGAACAAAATAAATAAGGAGAAAAACAAACAGATACGACCTTCAGAATTTGAATTGGTGATGTGATTGTCAGCGCACGACCACCGAGCAACGGCGGAGAAGAAGAGGACAGCGGCGCGAGGAGGCGATCCTCTCGTGGCGATACCCCACTCCGCGCAATACATTGGACAGCGACGCTCGTCTTACATATGTATTTTTTTGTACATAATACAAGTCCTTATTTTATACAGTCCGATATATATATTACTTATATACCATAGTAATAGGACCCTTCTGGACATTGTTTTTTTTTTGTTTTTGTATAAAATGATTCAACTGTGTTGCCAAAGCTCAAAGAAAATAATATTGAACTTGATATGCCTTGTCTAAACGGTTTCGTTAAGTGTACCTATAAACAATATTGTGAAGAACGGCTGGTCTTCACATATTAAATTGTTTGCAAGTGCAACTCAGTCAGAGAGTCAGTACGATCCATTTGCTTAAGTACGATGTGACTTACACGCTTATGCTTTTAAAAGTTTAATGACAGTCTTAAACTAGCCCTGGAACCTGGTACATGAACTAAGGACAATATAACCTGTAGTGATATGTTAGCGCAATCAATATTAAACTTTATCTATTAGTGAAAAGAGTTGAATTTAACTTTAAAAATGAACCATCTGTTGTGTTTAATGAAAAAAATTATAAATGTACTCACATTTCTTGAAGGGGCATTTCTAGCGACACTTCTGCTCACTGCGTTAGGAAAATCAGCAATTGAACATTGGTTGAAGGCGCCATCTGGTGGCGGGCACTTCGAAACTACACCTTGAATGGCCTAAATAAATAAATATTTTTACAACATTTGACACACAACGCCATCTAGTTTTAAACTAAGCAAAGCTTGTACTATGAAAACTAAATTGACTGATGGAATACTTATGACGGAAAACACCCAAACTCCGAAACAAATATCGAACCCCAGACCTCAGTACAGCAGTGGCACACGCTACCACTGCACCACCGAGGCAGTAAATAGTTCAGAACCAGAATAATAGAAAAACAAACCACAAATAAGGAGGCGGGCAAAGGGAATTTATATCTAAAATATAAATTCCCTTTGCCGTGAAATTGTTTCATTACAAGGTGTAAGATTACTAGTTACTCCGTATTTCAATGTGTCTTCGTTAGATGGCGCTGTAGTATGTTTTTTATTTCAATGTATATTAAAGTCGCCACACACGGCAGGACCGATTAAGTGGGCAGAGTAAAATCACCTGCGCTACGACAGTCCTCGCATGTTGCAGATGATGTGCCTCTTCCCTCTCCAGGTGTCTCTTGAGGTGTTCCAGCTCTGAGACCACGTTGAACTTCTCTTTCTCCAGGCGTTGGTTGGCTTGCTTTAAAGACTGGAAGAATTTTTGCCAAATAATTTGGTAGTTCTATATTATTATTTTAGTGTAGATAGCCGTCTAATCCCAAACTAGGCAGAGTTAGTAATATGGTAACCAGATAAACATACTTAAATATTACTATATATTATGGTATAGGAGCTAGCAACGTTTTCGAGAAAGAATTTTAGGACAGCTGATTTTGTGATATGTCGTCCTTCTTGCACTTTCGGTTAGAATCTGGGCTATCTGGCTGGCGGTAGCGGTTGCGTTCATTAGTGCGCATCCTACCTGTCCAGGTAATAATCCTGTATTTTAAAAACATTTTAGAAGGCGTAATTTTTAATTTTTTGTTTTTAAATAAGTCTACCTGACATACTTTTTTTATTGCCAGACATTTTTGACAATGCTAACTATGTGCCATACGCGATTTTTGTTATTTTTTTTTATAAAATTTCAAAGTATTTTATAATGTCTGTAATTTTAATATTATGTTATTTAAAGATAAGAAAAACTTAAAATAAATTTGCCAGACATTAATTCGATTGTTAAGTCTTGAATTAAAATTAAAAAGTCATGAAAATATTGCAGTATGATGCTAGTAGTAACAAGACACATTTTCAGTAAAAATCAACTTCTTCATATCTCACTACTTCTGAAAATAATGTGCCTGAGCAAGAGTTGAGTAAACATGAGATTAGTATTTTGATGATGATGATGCGACTTAACAATCGAATTAATGTCTGGCAAATTTATTTTAAGTTTTTCTTAGTCGTTACGTGACGAAAATTTGGAGAAATGCTCACTCAAAACATCCAACATCTTTATCTCCAATGGCTTTCGGTTGGACCATTAACGGTGACAAATATGATTTTGTCTGGTTTTTGGGAGATCAATTACCATCTTCAGTTGCAGATATTATTGTTCAAAGTAAGTGTGAAATGGAATATTTATCAATAATAACTAAAATGTTTTATAACGAACTAGAAGAATTACACTGTTTATTTTTTTTCTGTTGCAGATGATAGAGTTTTAGAAGATAACGAAAGTTCCCAAGAAGATGATATGAATGACACTGACAAAGACAGCGACGATGATGATAATATAATAATAATAATATAATATAATAATATATTCTACCACATTCACACAACGCCATCTAGTCCCAAACTAAGCAGAGCTTGTACTATGGGTACTAGACGACTGATATAAATACATATATACTTTTTTTTTTGTAAATACATACATATTATACATAGAAACACCCAGACCAAATCAAACATCAAATGTTCATGCACACAAATGTTTGACTTGAGCGGGAATCGAACCCGCGACCTTTGGAACAGCAGTCCGTTACACAAACCACTACGCCATCCAGTCGTCGCCAACCATCATGATGATGATTATGAAGATGCCTCTTTTTTTGTGACGTCAATATAGGCTGAAACAACTTGAAAAACTTAATATTAATTATTTATAATTTACATTTAGTAATCAGAACAATTTAAATAAAAAGTGTTGTTTTTTAAATTTTAATCTAATTTTATATTCCTTTTTATGCTTAATTTTTTTTTGAAACTTGCTCTGACTAGAATGATGATTATTATTATTCCTATTCTTATTATTATTATATATTTTTTTTTATTATATGCACAGTGAAAAGTAATTTACTTTCGTAATGGTTCTCTGTATCATTCTCGACTTATTCTGCAACTATCTCTCTCGGACTACTAGCATCATACTGCAATATTTTCATGACTTTTTAATTTTAATTCAAGACTTAACAATCGAATTAATGTCTGGCAAATTTATTTTAAGTTTTTCTTATCTTTAAATAACATAATATTAAAATTACAGACATTATAAAATACTTTGAAATTTTATAAAAAAAAATAACTAAAATCGCGTATGGCACATAGTTAGCATTGTCAAAAATGTCTGGCAATAAAAAAAGTATGTCAGGTAGACTTATTTAAAAACAAAAAATTAAAAATTACGCCTTCTAAAATGTTTTTAAAATACAGGATTATTACCTGGACAGGTAGGATGCGCACTAATGAACGCAACCGCTACCGCCAGCCAGATAGTCCAGATTCTAACCGAAAGTGCAAGAAGGACGACATATCACAAAATCAGCTGACCTAAAATTCTTACTTTCCAAACGTTGCTAGCTCCCGTACTATTAGGATAGATCATTATTACAGACTAGTTAGCCCGCGTAACTTTGTATGCGTATCGAAAAAATAATAAATCTTCCCCGTTTTGGCAACGTTTTTCATTGATGCTCGGTTTCTATTAGTCGTAGTTTGATGTTATATAGCCTTCCTCCATAAATGGGCTATCCATAGTATATACATAGTGGTATCCTTACCCTCATCTTCTCTTTCTTTTCGAAATGGCATTCTTCTATTCTCCTCTTCAGCTTTCGTTTCAACTCATCGAGAAGACTGCTGAGAGTGACACGATTTGCTTCGAGATCGGCTCTCTGCTGCACTATCTGGTTTATTGACGTCAGAAGTTTGATTCCTGGGGTCAAAGAAATAAAAGTGGTTAGAAAAGCTTTTTTTAGTTAAGAACAAAGCCAGAGAGTTGATTCTTTAAACTAATTTAGCCGATTTCAAAAGATTCTCAATTCAACTGTATTTTGTTTTGTGTTTTTTTCGTCAAAATCCATTATTTATGAATCGATTTGGCAAATGCTTTATTAATTACGGGGAGCATACTGTTCGTTTGGTCCCATCTTTTTGCAGTGCTGGTCACCTGCATTGTTTTGCGCCCTTAGTCGACTTACGACACCCGCGGGATCAATTGGGGTAGTGACTTTCCGTATTCTTAATCCGTCACCACACGGACAGTTGACACTATGATTGACAGTTTAGTCAAATTATATCTGAGAACACTCTCGATCAAGTTATTATAAAGAAAGAATCGAAATCGGCCCAACCGTTTAGGATCTATGATGCCACAGACAGAGACACGGATACCCACATTATCTTGTAAACCCCCTTCTTGTTTTCTTAATTGGTTTGATAAGGCCATATTAGTAATATAACTAGTGTTCTCGTGAACTCCTCTAGCAAAACTGTGTGGGCGGAGTACCATTGCACCAGCCTGTGGGTTTGATTCCCAACCAAGACAAATAATTGTGTGATGAGCACGACCATTTCTTCTGTGTCTAGGTATTGTTTTTCTACACTATGTGTGTATTTAGAAATATAAAGGTTTATTTCTTTATTTAATACAATAGTACAGGTTCTGCTTAGTTTGGGATCAAACGACCATGTCTGAGATGTTTCAAGTTATTATTATTATTATAACACGCACAATAGCAACAATCTCTGTTTTGTCAAATATTTAGCAAAACTAAATACATACGTTTCAAAAATATGTTACTTACGTTGCTCATTGATCCTGAATCTCTGAGCGGCCGGCTGAAAGGTGCAGGAGTCAGGGCTTGGCGCGCCAGAATCTTGTCCAGGGTATGACTGGGGCCCCATGTAATTCTGGACGCTGTCCCCTGAATCCTGTGGGGAGGACTAAGCACATTATGTTATGAGGTATCTACTAGAAGAAGATGGATGGTCTAAAATCAAAGAGCGGGAAGCAAGAAGGTATTTATTAAGCATATAGCAAGTTAAGCATACTGTGGATGTATCTGTTCTCGTAGTCTCTCTAATCATAGGATAGTCAAGTATTCGACATTGGCTTTTTCAAGATACAGTAGTCTTTGTCTAGTTTTCCTCTCTGGGGTAGATATTGCTCACTTGCCTTATTTTCCTGAGCGGAACCCCTCGGATACCACCCACCAGTGGGTGATTATGTCGGAATCAAACCGAACAAAAACCACACGGGTACCAGGAAAGAACTGGACGTACGGTCGCGGTCATAAGTCCAGTAGCACTTTTACGTAGTTATAGCATTATAACTAGTTGGACTTATGACCTTCTATTAACGTATATCAGACACACACATAAACACGCTACGTGCGTATGATTATAGTGACTAATTTCAACGTAATCAATAACTATCCGTCTGGCGCTGCTGTGGACCCTCTGATGCAAATGCCGCCGTCTCAAAACTCATGTAACTCCCAGTATTTTTTTGAGAATTCATGGAATGTGGTTTTAAGTACAGTATTGTAACGAACGACGAAGAATATAAATCTTTTCAATATTTTAGACTAGTAGTCACTAAAAGTTGGGGGTAGATTTGAAACAAAAAATGATTTTATTGTTTCAAAAACACCCTCAACTTTTGACGTCGGCTAGTGAACGTAGTCACGAGTATTTGTGACCTGGTGATCTCCGAAGCATCCTTTCTCGGTGATCACCTGCGTCAGCCGGTATAAGAGGGTTCCGTGATGCCTCTCGAGCTAATCCTCCATAACGGGTCTTATCGCCGCGATAACGGTGTGCCCGTGCTCATTTGCCCAGTCCTTAAACTTTGTCCTGTCTGAATACGATTATACATGTACAAGGAGGTTTGGCGTTAGATAGCCGGCACAAAAGAAACCAGCTATCACAAAAAAAGGCTCCAAATAGAATTATACTAACTAGGTACACCAATAGAGAAGGCACACACAAATGACATCACAATTTATCACAGGGTAAGCTGTGGCCTTTTAGTCACACAGTTAGATAATTTTATTGTTTCGTGATTGTTTGGTTTATTCTTTAGTTTAGTAAAGTGTTTTGTTTTCTTTTATGTTGTAATTTTTTTTTGTGTCTAAAAAACATATTTTCTTCACTTAACTTTGATGTACATACGAAATACGCATTCACTACTATAAAATGTAGTAATTATGGCAATCAAAAATCATCCTTCACAACAACGGCGATTTAGGTACAGTATTGCATATGTGATTGATTATTTAACTCAGTTTAATATGGAAATACGGTCTCACCGATAGTGCAGAACTAAATTCAAATATCACCTGAACTTTGCGCCTGTATTTTGTTTTCTTTGTCCGCACGGCCATATTTTTTAAAGCACTATTCGAATGAGTTAATTTTCTTACACAAATTCCGGGACAGAAACAGAATTTAAATGTAATTTCACTCATTACACAACTGAAATTCACGGCACATTTTCGTTACAAACACAGTTGAAGACAACTTAGTAGATACGCCTTCGAAACAATTCTAAGCTTTACACGATAAGATTAAGGGAGGTTACATACTCGTATTTCGATTTTTTCTACGACTCCATCGCGCGTTTTTGCGTCCAGATGGAACCAGATGGTAAGTTTGGGTGCTAACCTAAGAATTAGGGAGGTTTGGGCCTGCAATAACTTCATTCACATGGTGACAAGGTAAGTAATAATGTTAAACACAGTTTCTATCTTGATTTATACATTTAATTAATAAAGAGTTGTAGGTATTGGAGTATAGGCGGGGGAAACCTTCTTTCCCCGGGATAGAGCCGGGCTAAGCGCGTCGTGGATCCGTCCATTTCAGATCCCCTGAAATAACATGGTCCGGGTCCTCCTCGGAGTAGGGCGCCTGAGTCCGGGCCGTGGGGGTGGTTTTTAGTGGAAACACCACATACTCCTGGCTGCTACATCCCCACGGAGCCGGAGATCCGAAGGGATTTTCCACCCCGTCAACAAAAAAAAATGTATTGGAGTATACTTGATAGAAATATCTGCCTTTAAGAAGTAAAAATAAACGGTATGTAGTGGAAAGCACGCAGACAAGACCCGAACCGTACCGACTCTTTTTTTTTTTCCTGTGCGGAAAACCCCTCGGATCCCACCCACCGGTCGGATGGTTATGTTGGACTCGAACCGATCAAAAACCGCACACCGTTCCGGGATGAACCCCCATGTCCTCCTTGTGCTCCGGAAAAGGCGCGCGTGCTCGCTTCTGAATCTAGCTAATTGCTGTGGACTTGAAAAATATGGTCCACTCTTAGTTCACGGCTGCCGCACAGCGACTGTACTGCGACTAAGTCGCTATATACGTAAAAAGTAGCAGTCTGTATTTACTTTAATCGTCCATAACTTCGTGTTCATATTTTTTGTTGATGTTAAGTTATTGCAACGCAGTGGCAATAAAGTGATGTTTTATATATTTGTACTTAGTTGTCGCAGAACAATATAACTTCATTTTTTTTAAATATACTCCAAAAAATGAGTCTCGATTCGGGTGTTTGTTTTATGTTTTTAAACTCAAAACTCCGTCATTGATAAACCGAAAAATTCTTGTAGATTTGAAGAGGTATACTTCTCGTTTACTATGCCATAATTTATATTTTTGCGTTTGTGAACCCTTCTTTCTGATTTTTGCTTCACTTCTGTTGAGAGTTATACGTATCATGCCTTAGACAGATGATATTAATTCTTCTTTATTGCACATCAAAAAAGTATTGTAAAATCTAGAAATATATTAAGAAATAATCCAATGGGCGGTCTCATCGCAGTCTGTAATCACTTACAAGCAATTAAAGGGACTATATTGTTTAGTGGTACTTAGGTAAGTGCCAGTACAAGGCTTACCTATCGTACTTCACTTCTAGAACATACTGCGGTACCTGGTGGGTCTTTCTAAGAGATTATGAGCCAGGCATAACTAACAATAGGTTGATCCTAAAAATTGCCAGGTCTCTAAAGCAATTCTGAGACGGTAAAACACTTCGGTCTTCTGGAATCGGTGAGAAAGCGGGAAGTTGCGTATATTATTATTAAATAAATAAAATATACTTACAAGACACTTGTATTTTGGCATTTCTTCACTGGTGAACCTCACAGAATGATGGGGAGTTCTATGGTTCTTCTGTCCCGAGGGTGATTTCAACGACATAATATTCTACAGCATCTGAGGAAGGCACTACAATATAAAGGCTAAGTAACGACCAACCTTGATAATTTAAAATTATTATTATAAAATTATCAAGGTTGGTCACTTAGCCTCCAATAGATTTTTCGTTTTATGGTACCAGAGGCAACAAAACGGGTCACCTGATAGAAAGAACGCCTACAACTCAACAGTCCACAACAACATTTGAGGGGGGAGTACGCTCTTTTCTTAAAGAGCGTTCGTTCGTCCCCTCCCCGCTCTTCTCTTTCTTCTTATTTTTTTAACTTAATTAACACTCTATAGTCCCTTATTTACCTACATACATACGCTCACGTGTTTATCCCCTTTTTTTTTTTTCCGTCCGGAAATCCCCTCGGATACCACCTGTCGGTGGCGTGTTTGACTCGAACCAACTAAAACCGCACGCCGTCTCGGGTACTAATAGCCGGGGAACCAGGTACACCCTAGAAAGGAAGTCCCTGGTGCCCCGACATACCTCGGGTCATCTACAGACGAGTAGACGACCCCCCCGTGTGGGAACCCCATGTTACGTGTTTATCCCCTAAAGAGGTAGACAGATGAAGATTAAACGACACATTTTGTCTACTAAAACTTTAGTCCTATTACACGATATTTGTCTTGGGTGGGATCGAACCCCTCTGGCTAAGCAGTCAAGATTGCTAATCTACCAACCACCAGGCCCGTCATGATACATTCATCGGGGGGCAAACGAACAGACGAGTCATCTGATGGAAAGTGACTACCGCGGCCCATGGACATCTGCAACTCTAGAGCCACAAGTACCCTCCTGGATTATCTTCCTACCCTCATTCGCTCGGTGAAGAGCAACGACAGAATTTTATTGATTAACGCCGGTTTTGGTCAGGCTGTGCTCGAGCTGAGCCCTTTGTGCCAAGAAATTACTCTCCCACGGCAATAATCTATTCTATTATATCCTATGGTTTATATTTTCGTGTATTTCTATTAGTGTTTGATATTTAAAGTTAGTAAACAATAAAAATTAAAAAAAATGCCTTTCAAATAATATCGTACAAAATTTTCAGTTTAGAAATTCACAGTTGATCTGTCACTATCATGTTCACTTCACACAGGCACAAGTAGGCCCATACGGCCACAGAGACGTTGCAACTGTCCAATCGATTATAATGTTTTGCCCGAATTCTGCAGAAAAATTTGCTTGCGACAAAAGCATGACATACCGTCAATGTTGTTTTATAGGATGTTACATTTTTGTGACGAGTCTGAGTCGAATTTGAAATGAAAAGTAAGATATTTTTATTATATTTATAATTAACGAACTGAAATAATTAACCATTTGTGTAATTTTAACGTCTCACGTGAGCAAAGAAAATGAGTAATTATCTCAGTGCTAATTGTATGTATGTATAATATGTATTATACTTCATTTGTAGTAGGTATGTACTCGTATGTATTTACAAAAAATATGTATATCAGTGTTTTTTAACTTATAATTAAAATTGTGACTGATTACAAGTTGAAATCTAGTTTTGTAATATTATTGTCATACAAAATTTCTAATTATAATTTTTATAAATAAGAGGGCAGTGGGTCTCATGGCTAAGATATAACCGAGTAGGTTAACACATTGTAAATTCAAGCAATCCTAGCCAGGTCAGTCTATGGATGGGTGACCATTCTTAACACATTGAGACCCCTCCGTGCCTCGGAGAGCATGCTAAGCAGGTCCCAGTTGCCAAACATCTGTGGCAATCGTTACGGATAGTCGGAGCCCTAAAAAGTTCGAAAACAGTCTTTCTGCGGAACTTCGACATCGCTTGGTTTTTTTTTTATGGAAAAGGTGGCAAACGAACAGCCTGGTCCCCTGATGGAAAATAACTACCGCCACCCATGTAGTACTTAGGTTACCTACTCGAAGACCCCTACTTAGACCCCGGAAAATAAACAGCCACCGTGACGGAAATCGGCATGGGATAATTAATTAACTTGGGGTGTGGAGGTCTAAAAATCGAAGTTCAGCCGCATCTTGGAAGACTTCAAGTCGACCCCAACCTAGTTTGGGAAAAAAGGCTCGGCAGAAGAAGGATTAGAGGGAAGAGGTTAGACGGCTCATACTCTTCAGCGATAGCCAATTCGTTACAGCTTCGAGGGTCAGAAACCTTGCTTGATCCATTTTTTACATCCATCTATTATTGCCTTTACAATTGATTGGATAGGGTATTGGTTTAAGAGGTCACCTCGCCGCTTTCTACTGCGCTGAGTGTTATGAGTTTGATCTGCACAAGGAACTACATTTTGTATGATCCTCAAATTGTCGTTCTGAGTCTGAATGTTCTTTGTGCCCGTTCGATGGATGTTTGTGAAGTCCCCCGCAATCAGGATATGCTTCTAGTGCGGCAATTGTCCTTATTTTTTTTTAATTTATATGCCTTTCAATATACCTAATCCTCCCAATATTCTCTTCCAAGTGCTAGTTAACGACAACAGGCTGTACCCCTGTATTAATTAAGTTGTAGTTGAATGGTAAAATTATATTTGATAAAATGTGACGGATTAAGAATACAGAGTGTCACGACCCTTATTCATCCAGTGGGTGTCAAGAGCCAACTAAGGGAGCAAATTACGCAGGAAAACAGCACTGCAAAGAGAAGGAAAACTGGACACAAACCCTATACCAGGGTTGGTATAGGGTTTGTGTCAAGTTTATCAAGTTTTTTTGGCCAGCGTGGTATAGTAGGCCAAAATCTCCTTTCTAAGGAGAGGCCTATATCCTGCAGTGGACTATTAAATGCTGATGATGATGAGTGATTATTACGCCTCTGGCCTTCGTACTACTAGCTTACCCGCGTAATTTCACATTTTTCAAAAGGAATAGACATGTTTCATTGATGTTCGGCTACGATTAGTTGTGGCATATCTATACTAATATTATAAAGCTGAAGAGTTTGTTTGTTTGTTTGTTTGTTTGAACGCGCTAATCTCAGGAACTACTGGTCCGATTTGAAAAATTCTTTCAGTGTTAGATAGCCCATTTATCGAGGAAGGCTATAGGCTATATATCATCACGCTAAGAGCAATAGGAGCGGAGCACCAATGAAGAATGTTTCAAAAACGGAGAAAATTTATTACTATTGAGAGACGCAGACGAAGTTGCGCGGGTCAGCTAGTTGTTATATATAGCCTTCCTTGGTAAATGGGCTATCTAACACTAACCAGTAGTTCCTGGCATTAGCTTTTTAACTCATCAGCTTTATCATATTACTATGTATTACTTATTTTATTGCTCCCAACAACACATCTACAAAAAGACATCATCACAGACTACAAAAAGTAAGCAAGTCTTTTCGTTGTCAGTTGTTGTTTGTTTTAATTTGTTTATTCTTCGTTGAATTTGAATTATATAGTATTTTTTATTGTGTAAGTATGTAAATGTGAGTATAGTGTAGGCTTGTAATGTTAATACATATTTTAGTAACTTTCTGGTGGTTTTGAGTGTTTCCACGGCCTATCTAAATGTCCTGCTGGTGGTAGTGTCATGCTTCGGGTCGTTGATCTTGACCAATATCGGTTAGGCTATGCGATGGCTGGAGCCTGTATGCCGTCTGTATGGCCGACTCAAAGCTATGGTTTTTTCTTCAAAAGGCCTACCCAGACCCTATACTGTACTCGCATAGTTTTATTTAACTTTGTTTACGGACTTAACAAAAGACACCTCTGTGGTTTGTTTCGGCGTTTCTTCACAGTCTTAGGATATGCCGTCTCCTTCTAGCTGTAAAGTCCGACTTGTAAAAATATCTGAAAAGATTTACTTACAGAAATAAATATCACTTATCATCAGTACAGCTATTTTTTTATTAAAATATTTCTATAACAACGTATTGTAAACTGTAAGTACAATTAAACTTTAGAATAGAAATTACCATAAACTTCCCGTTACTGTAATCAATTTCTCATTTAACAATTTAAGCTTTGGAAGCCAGCTATTCGTTGTCTGGCAATCAGTCACGCCGTTTTGACACGGCCATTTAACATTATGGATTGTTTATCCGTTATAGAAAGTCTGAACTGTCTACCTCTGACAAACTTATTCAACTTTGATTACTTATAAATGATTTTTATTTGGTCAAAGGAACAGATAATACGTGAGATTACTAGCTTTTGCTTACGGTTTCATAACTGTTATTGTCGATATTGGTGCTTATTCTGTTGTTCGAAAACTCTCTAAACAAAACTAAAAATCACTAAAAATTTGTTTAGTTCTGTCAAACAACGTTTCCTATTCTGAAAACGTAATATTTGACAGGACAAAAACTTTTTTTTGTGATTTTTAGTTTAGTTTAGAGAGTTTTCGAACAACAGAATTAGCGCCATTGTTAAACAATTTTCCTACGTAAAGCCTTGGTCCGTGTGGTGACGGATTAAGAATACAGAATGTCACCACCCCTATTCATCCCGTGGGTGTCGTAAGAGCCGACTAATTGAAAAAACTACGCAGGACAGCAGCACTGCAGAGAGAAGGAAAACTTGACACAAACCCTATACCAACCCGTCTGGCCAGCGTGGTATAGTAGGCCAAAACCTCCTTTCTCAGGAGATCTTAGGTCCAGCAGTGGACTACTAAAGGCTGTTGATGATGATGATGACGTAAAGCCTATGTGCTATTTAACCTATAATATAACATTTTCTTAATTTTCATCCCTCTCCGTTCAGCTTTTCAGGCTTTATTGAATAAAAACCTTCGAACAAGCTTTCGTATTTGTTAACTTACAATAGTAGCTCAGTTTTTTCTAGTGAAAACCCGATAAATTTCAATTAACCCGTCTTGGTGATTAGCTGGTAAAACCAGACAGACGAATGCAGGAAAATAATTTGAAAATGATTTTTTGTTTTAAGTACTTTGAACGTTTAGTGCACACGTAACTCTTTTCAGTGCTGTTGTCCTGCGTAGTTTGCTCCCTTATTCGGCTCTTACGATATCCACGGGATGAATAGAGATGGTGATA